TATCTTATTAAATAAAAAAGCTATAAAGATAAGAAAAATATATAAGAACCTATAAAGCACCTAAAAAATTATTAGCACTTATTATAATAATATTACCAGTAGTATTTAATAAGGTATCCTTAAATATAATGTTCTAATTTAACACGTTAATAATACTTAGAGATTATATATTAATAATAGCCTTAAATTTATAATACTTCTCCTTCTTTAACTTATTTAATAATTATAAACCTAAGTAAGTTATTTATTAACCCTTAGTAATTAACTACTGCTTTTAATAGCGTAATTATACTAGATAAGCCAGCACTTTATTTAACTTAGCCTAAGCCTTAAGTATTTACTTTTTTACTTTTTTTTTCTCTTAATCTAAATATTTTAATTTAAAAATAATATAATTAATTATAAGGATACTTATTAATAAAAAATAGTAATATATAAAAAGAACACCTATATAAGCTAATTATAATACTAAAAGCATTATAAAAACGCTCCTACTATATATATTCCTTATAAAAGAAATATAATATAATATTATAATTAAATAATTTAATAGAATTAATTAAGTAATTATTTTATAAGGTAAAAAGAGCTTTTAATAAGGGATCTTTTTGCTTTTAGGTATAAGAAATAATAATATAACTAAATATGGTATTAAAAAAATATTATAAAGAATAAAAAGAAAAAGGAACTTACTAATAAAAAGAAAAGAATAAAGGAATTACTTATAAAATAAGGCTTAGATCTTAAGGATAAGACTATAAGAGAGGGGATATTATATTATAACCTAGTATATAGGCTATAGGTTAGGCCGGCTATATAGAGCTACTAGGCAATACAGGCATAATAGGCTATAAAATATTAGTTAGTATAATAAGACTAATAAGAAAAATACTTAGTTATTATAAGTAAGTATATATAATACTTATTAGTATTTAGAAGTAAGTATTAAGAATACTTACCTTTATAATAACTAGTAATTATAGTATATAAGGACCCTTAAATTTACTTTATAAATAGACTTTAGCTTTTTAGCTTTTAATACTAATTATTATATTAAATAAGCTTTACTTATAACTCTTTAACTTTAATTACTTAGTTATAATTTATAACCTATTACTAATATAACACCTAACTGCTTAGATTAACTGCCTTAATAGCTCTGCTAATATAAACTACGACTAGTTTATCCCTTGGGAACCTTAGCCGTTACAGTTTAGTAGGTACCAACTACAAATATACTAGCAGATAACTTTACGAAACCTCTTTTAGCAGAAAAACATTCTTACTTTATAAAGTAATTAGGTCTGGTTAATATCTCTTTGCGGATTAATCCAGAGGACGCTTTACAGGAAAATATTAATAATACTATTCAAATACTATCTGACATAAAGTGAAATCGGGGGGGGGCAGAGGGTCGCAAATAGTATATAGTCTTTGATAAGCCACGTGAAATAACATGCTATTAATCAACCTATATACTTTAAATATCTGCGGGATAAAACCCTGCACCTAATAACTTAAATTAATAACATAACTTTTTGTTATTATTTTTTCAGCACGTAAAAAGGCGCGACAATAGGTTAGTTTAATAGCATCCTGGAGATAACGGGCTGTTCAACAGAATGGATAGTCAACAGCCTCCGAGAAGAATAAGGTTATAACGGGGCAGCGTACCGAAATAAAAGTCGCTAATATAGAAACTGTACATCTTTGCTAATATTTTCTTGATGCTCAAATAAATAGCTACATATATACCATGTTGCCTTCGTAGGTAATGTCAAAAACAGTTCTCCTATATCGCCTACTATCTATTTACGCAGTCTTGTCTTAGTCACAGATGTGTAGAGTAGAGAGGACTTCAGAGTCAGAATTGTGCTTGCAATTCTTCGCTATCAAAAAGGGATTGAACGCAGTCTTATATACGAAGCTTTCCTTTCGTCCAGGTTAAATTGATTCTTCTGACCGATAGCGTGTGTTCCGTTCTTAATTGCTGTGACAAATGAAGTGAAGTCTGATCCCGCCTTGTTGCGCCCTCTATATAGACATAGGGGCAAATCCCTTGCTCTGTCGGTACCAGTATTCAAAGGAAGAGTTGACGATGTTATCTCGCAGAAGGTAAGCACCAGCCTCCTTAGCAAGAGCTCCGTTGACAGGCCTAGGAGGACCATAAGCAGCTGCCCGCAGCTGAATACGACACGCACGCTCCAATAAAACTGCTAGGTATGTAGATGCGCGCACGTTCTTCCCGGCCGTGAGCATGCCGTGGTTGGCGAGGATAATGGAGTTCTTGTCGGCCAGGGCCGCTGTGATGATGACACCCTCATCGTCGGCAATGGGCAGGCCCGGCCACTTGCCGAGGAATGCGCAGTTATTGTAGAAAGGCGTCATATCCATCTGAGAGACAACAAGAGGCTGCTCGGCGGCTGCCAGCGCCTGAACCCAAGGAGAATGAGTGTGGATAATGCTGTGGACATCTGGTCTACCTGAGTAGACCCAAAGGTGGAAGCGGGTGGCTGGGTTAGCCATGCCGTCGCCCGTCACGGTGTTAAGATCGCCATCAACCTCAATCATATCCTCTGGGTTGGCCTCGTCCCAGCCGACGCCGAAGCGTAGAGTCCAGTAGAACCCGTCGCCTTTCTCAGAACGCGCACTAATCTGGCCAGTCATGCCCGCGTCTTCCTGTTTGCTGGAGATTATTCTGCATGCACAGGCCATCATCTCCTGCAAGGTCCGCTCTGGAATCTTGAGGTTCTTCTTCATCTCTTCTGCCGAACGCTTGTCAAAGTATTCCTTTGGCCGCAAGGGCTCGCTGCCGATTTTGGGAGCCGGCGCAGCGGCCTTAACAGGAGCAGTTGTTGCACTTGGAGCCATGGCAGTTTTCGTCGTCTCTGTATCTTTCTGTAGTGGATGGCTCTTGTCTGCCTCAAGGCGTATGAAGTAAATAAGAACTGAGTCTGATAAGATGCTATTTACTGGTGGTCATAAACAATTTTGTACCAGATGGCTCCCATCATGTCGCCGAGTTTTTAAGAGATTTTGGCTCTCAGCCAAAATTCGGCTCTCATGGTTTTGGTACCATGGTCACGGATCAGCATCCGAAGCCTCTATTGCCATGCCTCCGAGACGTTATCCGTCCCCTGCAATTGCCTGCGGAGCTCGCGGCGTCGGAACTTGGTGTGATTGGCCATAATCCCGCGGCATCTGGATGTACCCGCAGAGTCCTCCGAGAGGCAAGCTATCAAACCCACAAAGTCCTTCACAAGCAGATTATCCGAGGTAGCTGTAAATTCATGAATGCGAGATTAATCACGGTAATGACTCTAGCGGGAGTTGTGACAAATACTCTCTATTGGAGGTTGAATATTGTACACAAAACACGGAAATGACTTGGACTGAAGCTAGGCCACAGATTACCTGACGCTCACTCAACCGTACGCATGTTGTTTTTATCCACGATTACGCTTACAGCTTCTGAGAGCGAAAAGTTACACGGATTCAAGCTCGGTTACGATCTGGTGGGCAGCCTGGAGGAACTGTTTCGAGACCAAGATATCTTACGACTTCTGCTTATTGGCGGCATGAACGAACTTGCTGATAGCCATCGTGCACAGCGTTATTCAAGGTCGCCGGCAGCAGCCAATCCCGCTTCAGGCCGTACATGTACCAACAGCGGCTTATCAAGGGCGATTTGTAGCCGTTGTGGCCGCCAAAATGTGTCTTCAAACTGGAATAAAATGGCTGTACAGGAACTTACAAATAAAATGTTTTAATGCATTAATTATTTACGTTATTAGCTATCTTTTAGTATAAATTTTAGTCTATCATCATTTGTGGTTGGTGGGTGGTGCGCGCTGAAAGCCAAATTTTGTTGCAAGTCGAATTTCGATGGGTACGGATATCTGACACCGAGCCAATTCGGCCCTATCCAGGTTCAAAAAGGCGTATAAATTCGGCATAATAGCACCATAAGGTAAGGGACACACATTTAAGCAATGAACAGTTTTGAAAAGCACCAGACTCTTTGTTAAATTATCCCACGACTAGAGAGATTCATCTTCCTACATTTGCAAGCAAGGTGGACTAATTGACAAAAGCAGCCTCTTGCTTTGCACCGCGCATGGCAGTCATATATCCGACGCGATCCTTGGTATATAGTTCGATATCTATCTTGCCCCCTAGGCTTGCAGCGCCCTTGTCCAGAGTTCCTGCCTTCACAAGCGTCTTATCGGGCATAGCTTCAGGCTCTGAATACAAGCTAGAGCCACAAGCAGAGCAAAAGAAATGTCTGTTGTTCTTGCCTGTATCCCCGGCAATATCCCAGATCTTGGGTGTGCCTGTTACAATTAGTTGGCATCATGTACCTGCATGAAGAACTGGAGCCCGCTAAGGACGGACTGAAGTGGGTGAGAGACATGAGCGGGAAATTATACCTTTTGTCACCTTGAAGGAGTCGCGGCGCACGACAGCATTGGAGGTATAGGCGCTACCAGTCCACTGGCAAGAATTAGCTGACCATTTACAGTTTTTGAAGTAAACAGGCACCATGCTGTAGACATCATGAGGCAACACACCTTTTGGCAGTCTACGCAGTGGCATAGTGCGGTGAGGACAGGATTGCCTACTGTGATTAGCTCTTTCTCTTCCATTCAGTTTAGACGCTCCGCCCGTAATCGTGAACGTACCCGAGTATTGAAACTCAATCTGATGGCAGGCGCAGCTTCCGGTAGTTGTCATTGTGAGTAATCTGTGGAAGAAAGAAATATAGAAATCTGGCAAGAAGATAAAGTGGTTCCAGCGGCGTGATAGTGTCTGGATTTAATCGGTTCAAAGAAATACAATACACATTCCCGATGGATTAAACGTTCTCTTAAATGGGAAAGCCGGCCAAGCCGCTGCAGCACACCCGTACATACAGCTTTTTCTCAGTATCCGCAAGACACACTTCTACTCATTACCAATCTTTTCAGAATACGAACACAATCTTGGCATTTTTCATGCACAACCAACGTGGATTTGTCAGCTAAATTCACTTGTAATCGAAACATACGGAGCGATACATTATTCCAGTGCGAGAGATGAGATATCATGCGGATACGGCGCCTTGTGGTACCGATTTTGATGTCGTTCAACCTGCCGACGACATGTTACCGCCCACTTGACGCTTTCCTATTTGGTAGAAACCGCCGGAAGATTGAGCCGCCCCGCTGAAACTCAAAAATCATGCATGTGCTTGATAAAGGCACGCTCCGCCAATGGTGGCCCGAGGCCGGCAGTGCTGCATAAGTATTAGAAATGCGGTGGCACTTATTGAATTAAATTGAATGAAGTTAGTATCGTCCATCATTTTTAAGGGCGTCCAATTATTATTCTAAGCCCCACGGTTGGTGACCGGGCACAGAGCTATTCATCGCTCGCACGATAAACCGACGCCGAACCCGCACGGTGCAACGTGGATTTGTCGGCCCACCAATTTTTAACGGCGAGTCCACTGAATCCATCAAGACTTTGCTGCACGCAGCCATTTAGATGGAGCGCGAATATGAAAGACAATCTTAAGCAGTGATGTTAAAGACTGGACGCCCAACTAACGTTATCTGTATGCGTGGGGCTGTGGTAAGAACCGCTAGAAGAGATTAGGCCCGTGTTGGTTGGTTTCCATGTATAGGAATATGTCAGTATCACGGAGATAATCTTACTGTATATCTAAAAGATTATAGTTCGGTTATTTATTTAAGACAGGAGTCCTTGTATACTAAAATAACTTTGTAATGCTGCTACCTGTTAGATATTAGTATTGCTACCCAGGCACGGGTGTAAGCTGTGCACAGTGCGGTTTATCAACCTACAACGCCACAATCTGACAATATTCTAGATGACTAGGACCTATAGGGCGTGCCAATTTTAGCGAGAAAGCTTTGACTTATTACCAGGCATGGATAGTTCCAAAGTCGCATGTGCATGGGTATGCTAGATACGAACTTGATACCGGAATTTAATGCGACAGAGTGGCGAACACGAATATAGACGACTTCGAGCAGCGGAAGGGTTGATTTGTAAGCCTTAGACTTGTCTATGATCGATATCAGAGATTGGCTAATATACCAGTACGGGACCTCCTGAGTCCCGAGTCCCGACATGAAAGCAGGATTTAAAGTCGCATGTTCGGCCAAGCTTCTGGCAAATTAACTGCTAGCCAAAGTGGATTTTCCCCATGTTCAGATATTTTCTTCCCATCGTTACCACTCTCAATAGCCCAATTCACGTCCTCAACGTGGGAAGACAGACACCATGAAATTAAGCAATATTCTCCTCTCTATTTTGCTACCAGTTGGTGTCCGTGGTATGGTTAACGGATTACCGGGATCGGACTATCGCGCCCCCGAGGGCCATGAGTTTATCCCCGCGGGACACAACGACAGTAAGTGTTTCCTATCACGGCCGATATCGTCTTAACGGGACTATCTGAACCAGTTGCTCACTCCGGCTACAGGTCGTTCACCGTGCCCCTGGCTTAATGCTTTGGCCAACCACGGATATCTACCGCGGAATGGCCGCAACATCACCCGCAAGCTTGTGGAAGAGGGCTTCAACAAGACTTTCAATTTTGTGCCCGGCACGCTCGAAGGACCCACGGCAGGGGCCATAACGGCAGGCAAACGGGGGAACGGGACCTTTGACCTGGAGGATACTGTCAAGCATAATGTCGTCGAGCATGATGGTAGTATGAGCCGCAATGACGAAGCCATCGGCAACTCTCTCGTGTTCGACCCAGTCATATGGAACCGAACGCGGTCGCACTTTAAGTCTGATACCATCAGCCTTAGAGATATTGCCGTAGCACGCCTGGATCGCTTTGCTACCGCCAAGGCTTTGAATCCGCAGTTTGACATGTCTGGCGACAGCCTGGCTAACACCTTTGTGAATCATGCAGTATGGCAGTTGTCGTTTGGCGACCGTGTTGAAGGAAACGCAAACACGCTGTTCACGCGAGTAATCTTCGGTAAGTATGCTCCGGACTGTATTGGGTGGAGATCCTGTCCATTTATTCTAACAGGGTGGTGCTAGAAGAAGAGCGACTTCCTTTCAAAGAGGGATTCGTCAGGCCTTGTCAGCCGATCACGGGCTCGGACATTGCGAACATGGTTGGGAAGATCCAGAAGGCTGCGGTGGAGGTCGGCATGTCTACTATTCTTAATCTTGCCTACTGCTCCTAGTATACTCAACTAAGCTGTGACCAATTATCGATGCCATATCCTCCAAAGTGTGTCTTCTTTTATCAGGGCTGTTTAGAGTTATACTACCATGCTTACTGAACGAACGTGTAACAGGCCACGATAGAGGTGAGAGATGATCGGGACACAGTAGCTGTTACACGGATAACACGTTGCTATGAAGGCACAGGCCAAACCTTAAACCTAATAATAGTTATATAAAAGCTCTAATCACGAGATCTAGAGTAAAGCTTTTTATTACTTTTTAATATAAATGAAGGTTTTTTACTTTTAAGGCTTTAAAGAAAACTAAGAACCTTTAATATTAAAGCAAAGTATTAGCTAAATACGAATATTATTCTAAGCCTCTAAATACTAGGCCCTTATTATAGTAGCTGAGCAGGATTAGCAAGCTTAGATAACTAACTTTTCTTTTTCTTTTACTTTACTATATAATTCTATTAATTATAATTAGCACTTTTAACATAATTATAAATATAATCTAATAAAACTATTACCTTCTTCTCTTTATCTCCTATAAATTATTATCTACTATTACAGCGTAAAAGCAACTTTAAGCTCGCCGTCGCTTGCTTCTGATCTTGCTGGTAATTACTAGAGGTACTATAGGTAATAGTAGCTAATATTAAATTAGGAATTTAAGTTCAGGCTGTGTCTGCGCTTTAGTCGTCTCTTTATCCGATGCCTTAGACGTAGCCCGAGATAACAATACTACTACAATAGGTGTTCAAAAGTCTGCGAGCACCTTTTTTTGGGGTTATATAAAAAAATAACAAGGAATTTTACTTTTAGTAATATTTTAATTTGATAATTATTTTAGATTTTAAGTATTAAGATTTTATTTTTATATATTTTATTATATTTTATATTAGTACCTATTTAGCTTTAAAAACCTAGTATATTTTATATTATACAAATAACACCACAGCAGTAATACTGTGTGCTATTCGCACTGGAGGGGGGTGCTCGCAGACTTTTGAACACCTACTGTACCACCACAAGCTGCGTATCGCCCCAGTTGACATTCACGGCGATGGGTACTGCCTGGGCTTGCCCGTCGCTGTGATACCATCTTATCGTCTCAAGACTAGGCGTTTACTTCACATTGTGCGCGTTGTAAATCACGTTCTTGCTGTTCTAAGGCGTCAAGTAGTCGTCTAGTTCTTGTGCGACTCTGTATACTGTGGCTATTGTATGCCCGCTAAGCTGTCTGGTATTTATATAATAGAAGCATCAATAACTCTCCCGTTTTATGTCCTATAGTTAAACCTTTGCCAGAGAGTCGGCTACTCCACTAAGTTCGCGGGGCAGCATAGTATAGATATCACACGGAAAAGGCCCAATCACAACTACAACACCAAGTCACAAGGTCAATGCTCGGTCACGATGCAATATAAGGCATTACGGACCTCGTAAGGGGTATGACTCTGTACAACGGAACCTCATAGAATCAAGGACATTAATGCAAAGTTTTTTAAATTTTATAGTTATAGCTTTTATATAACCAGCTATTTTCGTGTAATAATAGCCGTGTCCAGGTTTTACTTTGGGAATCTGCGGTTAACAGGGCAACATCGACAGCATAGCAGCCCTCCAGCAACGAAACGATATCTCTGCTAATTAACATGGCCCACGCTGAATATCGGCGACTTATGGGGGTTTATCTCAACTGGGCAAACCGTCCGGCCCCCAATGTAACTATCACTCTCAGCAACGATACACTTGATGGAGATGGTCGCGTCATCATAATACCGTTAGTCACGACAGGCAACCGGGAGAGCGCAGAAATTATTCAGGTGGTCATCCGGGATACTGCCCCGGTAGATGGGGGCCGGGACGCGAGGTGTTTAACTGGCTCTCGGAGACAAACTGAGGATGACTGACCTGCTAATTAGTAATTACTCAAGACCGGAACCAGAATTGGGGGCTGATTTTGTGTTGATCAACACCGCACGGATACAAACCTCCGCTTACTTAAGAAGCACAGGCCAGGGCTGAGGGGAGTGTATAAAAGTAGCTCACATTCCCCCTCTTCCCACACATGGCGTACCTGTGACTAAACGCCATTCTATCTTTTGGGCGAGTTGTTCTTTCATGTTCAAGTCTCTATCCATCCAAGAACATCGACAATCTACACCATAAAACCGTACAGGAAAAGATAAAGATGGCCATCCTACTCACCGGCGGCGCTTATGCCAAGACTTCCCAGCGCATCGCTAGTTTGTGCAGAGAAGCCAAAATCCCTTTTCTTTTTGCTTCTCGCCGCGGAGACGCTACGACGTCTGACGCTGATGGTGCTGACAGCCCAGCCGTGCGGTTTGACTGGACTGATGCTGACACGTACGCCAACCCATTTGCATACTCCTTCCCCACTGGCCATGTTATCCGAGCTGTATACATGGTCATGCCCCCCGTGCCGGAGCCCGACCAACACGTGAATGCATTCATCGACTGCGCTGCCGCCCGTGGCGTCAAGCGGTTTGTGCTCATGGCAGGCACGTCGGCCAGTCTGGGCGGGCCCGGTCCGGGCAAAGTGTGGCAGCACATGATCGAGAAGGGCGTCGAATGGGCCGTCTGCCGCCCGACTTGGTTTATGGGTACGTATGAGCACTCTGTCGCACAATGATGTAGCCCGGAGTATGACTGTTGTCCTGATGAGAAAGCCAGTCTTGGGCTGACCAAATAAACCCGTCTCCTCGGCCTCACAGATAACTTTTCTGAAAGCTATCACCTCAACGCTGTCCGTGAGGAGGGCATCATATACAGCTGTGTCGGCGATGCAAAGGTGCCCTTTATCAGTTCTTTCGACGTTGGCGGCGTTGCATTTGCTGCCTTGACCCAGCCCGAGTCACCAAACAGAGATTACCGTATTGTTGGACCCGAGCTGCTCACGCATGATGACGTAGGTGCAGTCTATTCATTCATGAGAGTTTTTTCCTTCAACCAAGAACGCATAGTTAACAAACTCAACCATGTAGGTGGCTGCCAGGCTGAGCAATGCCCTGGGTCGTCCAATTCGACACGTCAACATGTCACCTGAGGACAGGATGCATTATATGACGAGCACCCTCAAGTTCCCTGCTCCGTTCGCCGGCTTCATGGTAAGTCTGGAGAAGTTCGCCGCGGGAGGCGGCGAAGACTACATGGACGACACGGTGGAGAAGCTTACAGGCAGCAAGCCCGTGGATTTGGATTCTTTTATAAAGCAAAAGAAGCCAGTTTGGACCTAGTTCCGATAAGAGATTATTAGGGAAGACCTGATTCAGTGTCTTTGCTGAGAAGTGAACTCGATAACGCAATGGAGCTCTCAAAACTGCCTCTTAGAAACAGAATGAAAGTTTAAATTATTTTCTCTCAGTGCCCTCGCAACAAGTATGAGTCATGAAGATTGACGGCCGCAGCCCATGTTTCCGTAGTCAATGAACACCGTCTCATCAAACGGATTGCTGAACTTGTGCGGCAGGCGGACGGGAACTGTGACCATTTCGCCAGCCGCGGCATGCACGCTCGTCTTGCCAGGTACGTGGAAGCCGACTTTGCCTTTCTTGTGCAGAGTCGGCAACGAGCTCACAGTAGACCGAAAGGGGCCGCGGAGGAATAATCTGAAAGGACCCTTTCTTCCTTATTTGTTCTTTTTGTTGGGGGAACCGACTGTCACGTAAAACCCCAGCCTTCATGCATTTCGTGCAAGTGGATTCCCGGGCCATCGTTGCGTGGTGGAATTAGGCTTTCGATGACCGAGTCTTCAGCATGGAAGGTTTTCTGGCTTAAAGATGAAGAAATTACTCACCAACTTATTACTCGCGCGGATAGCAGGAAATATTCTACTGGCGATGGGGTGTGGCCTACTCTTTATTCTCAACGAGAGTCGCGCATTTAAAAGTGTTAAGAGAGCAGCCATCCTTATACAGCAATTTGCCTTGGAAAAGAAGGTAAACAATTGTCAGAGACTTGGAAATCTAAATAGAAATCATAAACCTCCGTTATGGAATACTAAAAAAGCAACGATAAAAGTAAGATTATTTTATGTTTTGTATTGTGTTGTAGAGCGTGGCTGTCCCATTGTTGAATTATGGTGCCTAGCCCACAACCGGACAAGCTTATTATGCTATCAATTCTATTTCCATATTTCAAATTGTGAATCCAAGCCATGCCGCCACCAAAACTAGGTTTCGAGCCACCAAACCTACTGCCACCAAGCCAGTACCTATCCAAGCAAATACAAGCACTTGAGGTTTAACAAAACTGCCGGACCCATTCAGGCCTTTTAATGTCAAGTTGCTACATAAATTTCACGGGTTGCACCTCAGCTTCTAAAACTTGGCTTTCCGACATATTTCTCACAGCTTCTTCTTTCTTTTTCCATACAACTGTCGGAAAATACAACCAGCCCGATCCCAACGGCCACTATGACGCAGCAGCAGATCCGCTTCCTCGTTCTTTCCGATACGCACGACGATGCATTTCCAGTCCCGGCGTCCCTGCCTGCCGTCGACGTAGTTATCCACTGCGGTGACCTCACCATGATCGGTGGCCTATCCAATTACCGCCGCGCCCTCAACTCTCTTGCAGCCTGCCCAGCTGAGATTAAACTTGTTATTCCTGGCAACCACGATGTATCCCTGGATGCCGAGTGGTGGGATGAAAATATGGATAGCGATGATGATGAGGACGAACCAGTACATGCCCGGGCGTTATTTACCTTGGACGAGTATACCCGCTGTGGCGTACGCTTCCTGGATGAGGGTACTCACGAGATTGCTCTCCATAATGGGCGCAGCTTTAAAGTCTATGCGTCGCAGTATACGCCGGCCTTTGCTGGCTATGCCTTTGGGTATAGCCCAGAGGAGGACCGGTTCAATGGGACAGGGAGGAGGATCCCAGATGATCAAGGTATCGATATTATAGTGACGCATGGGCCGCCCCGGCCTCCATTTCCAGCATCAAATAATTACCGACTCGATCTCGGTGGGAAACGTGAAAACGGCAAACAGCAACATCTTGGATGTCCACGACTGTGGGAAGCAATCACGAGGGTTAAGCCCAAGATGCACTGCTTTGGACATATACACGAAGGACACGGCGTGCAGATGGCAACGTTTCATTCAACAAGAACAACTATTACCGACGTTGAAGCTGTCGAGAGAGAAGGTGTGCTAAATATCGGGACTGTCGCGCCGGCAGCGGCTAACGGAGAGGGAATGACTCTGCTAGTAAACGCAGCTATTTTGAGATATGGAGAGGAGGGAAATAATAAGCCCTGGGTAGTGAATATGGTATTTTAATGTTAATTTGAGAGAGATGACTTGTCAATGTTGATGATGCCCTCGCTTCAGGGCGGACAGAGTGGCTGACATGAACCATCTACATTGTGTCAACTTCAGCCTGCGTATACTTGGTGGTTACTGGCCACCAGAAACTGCCATCTGCAATGTCGTATGTTACACGGAAATTGCCCTGTTACACAAGGGCTACGGTCACGAGATCTAGGGCAAAGTCCCTACTTGCTCGCGCATCTCCATGTGGCGATTGCGCAGCAGTTCCCAACCATGGCGCCGATGCAGATACGCAGCGGAATGGCAATACATGTAATATAATACTAAATAAACTAGCGGGAGGACGGCTACTGCTGGTATGTCTGTCGAAAACCCACCAGCGGGGGAGGTAGGAAGGCCGCCCCCTTACATCAAACCTGGCGGGCTTTTTCATAGTAAGGCGGCTCTTAATAACACAAAAGCCCACATGCATCATGTTCTCTATGCGCAGTCCCACGCCTTGCTTCAGATCAAGTCCAAAGCCTTCCGATTCCAAAGTTAAGTGACATTCACTCACCGTCTCATTATTCCCATCTTTGAACCAAAGCACCTGTTCTGGGTAGTATCCCGCTTTCCCAGAAAGTTGACCAAGCATGGCTGCGACAGAATCGCTTCTCTCACCTCGCCGGCAATGAAATTCCTTACACGGGCCTTCGCATGAGACTTTCAACCCGTAAGATGTGTAAAATCGTAGCTTTTCTTCGGTACCAGGGTACTCGTACTAACAGACGCCGTCACGCTTAGCAGTGCTCTGCTCTTCTGGCGGCGCCAACCAGTTCCCGATAATCATATGAATACACGATCCTATAGTCTCAGCGTACATTCCGGCTGTGAATTGAATCGTCGAGAATGTTGCGAAACCGAACAAGAGCCCGCCGCCGTATTTGAGGCAGTCATAGCCACGAAGAAACTTGCCCCTGTTATCGTCGTGCGGTTGCGCCAAGCAGCTATTGGCGAAGTTATCCGCCAACATCTGGCACTCATATAAAGCTGCGACCACCGCGGTAGCTCCAACAACTACGCGTTTGACCATGAGAGGGTTATACGAGCAGTATTTCTTAGCCTTATTTAGGTCCCCTGCTGCAAGCGTCGTTGTTTCGCATATTTGTTGCACCTCGTCCGTGTGAGAGCTGCGTTGGGCCATATGATGGCACCACTCGGCCCACTCCTTCTCGTCAAAATCCGTACACGTCTTATTCTCGGATGCTCGCTGGGGAGATTGTATCGTGTCGCTGGAGGTTGATAACTCGTCATGTGCTAACACGGCTGTTCCAGTACTGGACACAGCCAGAGCCTTGGCTGCCGGTAACAGCGATAGTAGATGTCCAACCAACGTTGTTATAAGAAGTCCGCAGATGCAGATAATAAGGTTGTCAAACATGACTTGTGAGCAAGAGGTGTACGTGATTTAAATTACTTGTCAAAATGCTGACCTAAAGAAGAAAGACAAAGATGAAGAGATTCTAGGTTTATGACCACCTAATTCATAAGAAAGCTCTCTCCCAGGTCTGTGTCGTCATGTGCCCAGACTCGCATGGCGTTGAAAAGATTGGTTATGGCGAGTAGGCATGCATCACGGTAAGCTGTGCAAAAAGACGTCTGGTTGAGCGGTCTGGTCCTTTAGAATGTCAGCCGGTGGCGCAAACTGGGGGGGGTTATCCCGGAATTAAATGACAACGGTGCAACTCGGCCGCCCCCTGCTAGCGCATAGCGGCACATGCCGATGGTCATTGGAGAGATCCCAGAAGTCCCCATCAATAGAACCAATTATATAACCGCAAGTGCGAATTTTGAATGTCGGCATGGACCAACAAGAGGTTGCATGCATCGCCAGTCAAAAGTACTCCAATGCCAGAAGTTTCCAAGATTTTCATGGATAGGACCAATAAACAACTCGTCTAAGACTAAAAAAAAGGAAAGTAGAGACGAGAGCCTCATTGATGGAATGATACATGTCAACATGTCCCTGACGGCCGTGTTGACATGCTAACCAGCCACGATGGTCTCTTTGACGTAGCTAGAACGGACCATTGACCTCTATAAACGCTAGCGGGTCCTGCATATGCGTACAACCATATTCTATCCCCCAAATCAAGTCCCTCGGGAGTACTCCGTGGTCCGCTCGCTCCAGTTGCGATTAGTTGGTTTGGGGACTTGTGGGAAGAGAGTCAACCGTCACAGCGTGAGGCCGAGTTGCAACACACATGAGGCAGCGCCATGTTTTTGCGCGGCATTAGAGGTGTATGAGTTGCCTTGGTGGTATGAGGATCTAGGAAATGTGCAGGATGGTAAATCTTGACTCTCTACGCTTTTATTTCCACGTTTACTCCTCTCTAGGTATCATCATTCCAGTCTCTTACTTCTCTCTCAAATGCCCACCTTTGACTGCGTTTAAAATGTCGACATGTAGATGTCGATCGCATGTCAATTGCAAGCGTTTCCTCCAATAAATCACCCTAACCCTAACCCTTTCCCGCCAGAGACTCCAGCATGGCTTGCACATAGAGACGTAACCGGTCAACACAGTCCGGCAACAAGACGTTACAGTGTTAGCCAAGTTGACTTTCCCTTTACTTAAAGTTCACTTTTAAAAGCAGAGAGTTGATCTGGAGCTCGTGGACCGAAGGTAGCGGTTATATAAGACACGACTGAATTAGCCAGCGCTTTATTGGGCAACTATAATCCCCCCTGGCTATTTGTGCTTGGCGCTGCGGCTCCTGGGACGCAAAAACTACATTCCACCTCTGCTCTTCACATACAACGTTACAAAAGACAAGTAGCCCTGCGTACGCTGTACTCTTGTCGATCATTCATAACATAATACCTGCCGCTGCCGCCGCGAGTCCACCCACGACGCCAATTGCACCACCAGTAGGCACCATGGCAATGTTCTTCGTGGCAGACGTTGATATTCCAGTCGCTGTCTGTTTGGCATCGGAGCCTTTCCCGTTGAGGGCATTCGCAAGAGCGCTCGTCGCAGCAGCCAAGTCTGTTGCAGTGGTGCTGTCCACGTTCCACCTGCCGCACATTGATCCGGCGGCTTGGGTAAAGTCTAGGTAAAAACGTGCCTGCATTAGTCTGCCATTCTGCTAGTCTGGCTCGAGGTTGCGCAAAGTCGAGTTCGAAATGAGCCAAGCAAACGGGAAGAGCATCATGGCCGTGGTGCTCGAAAAAGGGAACTTTGGCAACGTACCAGCAGTGCAAGTCGAGTCAACACTCTTTGCTACAATAATTGAAATAGCGCCAATGTGCTTGCAAAGGCAGTCAAAGTCCTCAGCAGTGACGTTCGAAATGTCGCATCCCTCTTGTTTCATTCCATCAACCAGTGCAGAGTAGGCGCACTTGGGGATGTCTTTTGTGTAGCCTGACAGGCTGTCCAGTGCCAGCACGCCCGACGCATTTGCGAGCACAATGGCACAAAAGGTCGCGGCTTTCATGGTTCAAAAGTTCAGAAGAACAAAGAAGATACAACGAGAGTGAAGAGTACACAGAAAAGGCAAAGACGGGCGGAGTAGAAAGGATCTTTGTATCAGTTCATGTATGGTGATACAAACGCCAGGTCTCACCGCGGACACGTAATAAAGGGCCTTGCAGTTTGGGGGCTGATATCTTGTCGCCTTGATTGGTCTAGATCTGCATTGCCAGGTTCAGCTCTGAAGCTGTTGATGATGGGGGAGCGGAACTATCGGAAAATGAGACGGCTTTATAGCCAATGATGCCCAGTCCAGGGGCTGAAAAATTGCCAATTGTGCTTCACCATGCGGCAGGCCTTCATCCGACGTCCAAGCAAATTCATCCCGTCTCGCTCATTCAACGCCATTAGCTCCATTTATTGACTTGAATACGCGCCTCCGAGGAACCGGCATCATGTACGTACATAGTAGTTGCTGGTGTAGATTGTGGCCAACTACTCCGCGCGCGAGTATCATAAGTAAACACGTTTCCGTTACTCCTTTATAGCCTGAAGGGTATATGAATGAGGTATTCGCCATGGTTGGGTTTTTAAACTGTATTCGCCTGGCATTGTATGTGAGTCCAAAAGTCTCGAGATCGTGGCGGGATGGTGCTGGGCAGAGCCTACCTCTGTGATCTGACGCCATCTGTGCCGGGATAGCCGGCCAGGGCACGCTTTGATGCTCAACCAATCCGGAGATTCGCATCTTCTGTGATAACAGGGCCTCAACTATCTCGCCCAGGCCGTGGTTGAACTCTGCACTTGCCGAGGCCTCAAATTTGTGCCCTCCCGTGTCCACATACGTGTCTTCGTCATGGAACACGGTGGGTTCGTCGCGCTCAAAATAAGGCAAATCTACAATGAGCCTATCCGGCGACTTGTCATCCAATGCCCACAAGATGGGGTGTCCTTCCCTTATGAATAGTCGTCCTCCCGGCTTCAACAGGCCAGCAACAACCTCTGCCCACTCGCGCACACGCGGAACCCAACAGAGGGCGCCAATGCCGGTATACACCAGATCGAAGGTGCGCGGCATGAGCACCTTGAGGCCGTCATATACCGATGCTTCAACAAACGATAGCCTCTCGCCACCGCTTGCAGAAGTTGCCGAGGCTAGTTTGCGAGCCTCTCTTAAAGATGCAGGGGAAAAATCAAGCCCCGTCACAGACGCTGCGCCCAAACGGCTCAAGCTCAATGTGTCTGTTCCAATGTGGCATTGTAGGTGAGCGCAGTTGAGACCATCGATGCTACCAAGAAGCGTCTGGTCAAACTTGACCACCTGGCTGATATAGGTTGGGTCAGTCAAGAAACTGTTGACCTTGTAGTCCTCGGAGGCGGCGTGCTACGCAATGATACACATGGTCAGATACATCGTCTTGGATGCGTGGTGGAAGCACATACAAAGGGAGCACGCTCGTCCCATCTTTGTTGATTGATGTGTTGGTAACTATTATTCTCTGCCATTGGGTATTGTTTTGGTGTTGTGCTCGGTCTGGCTGAGTTGGATGGCAAGATGGTCGTAGACACCATTGAAGCGTCTGGTACTTGACTTTGTCCCGCAGTTTATATCAACCTGGGGTTCCAGGCGCTATACCTGATTCAGCTCGCCGGCCTGTTTTGTCTGCAGGGTGTGACTGTTCGCCGAGATGCCTTCACCGAGATACCAGCCTTTGACGCTAGCAGACAGTTAGTCAAGGCTGGGTGCGACTCATAATGATGTACCGTCAAGTCGACGTGACCCCAATATCCTACATATGTAAGTTGATCCTATGGAAGCCTATACAATGACAATGAACATGATGTGGAACCACCTGCGTCACAATTAAAAATACGTAGTTTCTCTGTTCTGAAATAAAACCAGTAATCCCTGTTGCATTACAAATACAAAAAGGTACAACCTGTAATGGCACCAACACGCCGTTATTCAACAAACCATGTAAAGGCACTAGCCGGTGGCCATGGCAGCCAGGCTGAAGGCCGGATGGCCGCAAAATACAACGTCCCCGATTTTAAACCACCGCCTTTTCCGGGTGGCCAACAGGAAGAACATCCTCCACAGTCTCGTCAGTATCCTTGAGATCGTCCTCGACCTCGACGTGGTCGGAGATCTTGAGGAAGATGGCCGGAGCAGCGACCACGAGAGAGACTGCGAGCAAGACCCAGTTGCTGATGAATTCCTTCATAAACGAAAGCTTGCGAGAATCCAAATTGTTCATGACAGCTGCGCCAACGGACTGTATGCCCTTGTAAAAGCCGACATAGTTGGCCAAACGACGGCCGGAGTTGGAGAGAGCGCCCATGTACCTAATGCTTGCTTAGCTTACGACAAGAAGAAAAAGCAACATGGAAGGCTTTGGAGCAACGGGCATGCCAACTTACCAGTAAATGCACGCCTGCCAGACCGCATCGTAGAAACCGTAAAAGATGTACAAGAACATGGGACCGACATATCCAGGTGTAGTCCAGTCGGTGGGCTCATAGTCCGGGTTCAGCTCGGGATTGACAGACTCGCGCGTGTAGTCCTTTTGGTAGGCATAGCCGCCGCCCCAAAGAGCAAAAGTGAAGACGACCAGGACAACCCAAGTCAGCTTGGCACGAACGGACCGGCGCACACCCTGGACATCGACAAGGACGCCGGTAATCCAGGCGGCGAGAATCTGCGCAAGATAGTACAGGAGGCTGTTGAGCGCCTTGGTGCGCGTCGTGAATCGTGCGCTGTTGACACCGTTCTGCTGGTAGACGTAGAACCAGTTGGAGGAGAAGAACATGGGAAACAGCAGCACAACCAGCGGCTCAAAGCGAAGTGTCTCCCAGAGACCGAGAAGCTCGCTCTGCCAGCTGGGGTTCTTCTTTAGAATGACGCGACTGCCATCCTTTCGAACAATGTCATTGGCGTTGCAGAGCAGGAGGGCCAGGACGGCGCCGCAGAACATGAGGACGATGAAGCCAATGTAGGTGCCATCGGTGACGGTCGCATTCGTCTTGACGTTGATGTTTTCACCGAGAGGGATCTGGGGCGCAAATCGTGTTAGTCGACTGCACGACGGCGTGCGGAAACAAACCAGACACTACTTACCAAACTCCCAATGACGGCCCCCATGTTGAAGATTCCCCAGAACCAGGCGAAATAGTGGCCCTTTTCGTGCTCGTGGGGATAGGAAATCATAATGGTGCCCTGGGCCGTCCAGAGCAGGCCGGCGCAGACACCCAGGAACACGCCGGCAAAGATGTTGAAACCGGAGACGTCGGCGTGGACCGAGGCGAGCAGGCTGGCGGCGTAGACGCAGTAGCCGACGCCTCCAAAGGCGAGGGTGTACTTGACACCGAGCTTGTTGATAAAGGTGCCGCCGAAGAAACCAAAGACGGCAAACGCGCTGTACAAGGCCGTGTTCTGTGCAACGCGACCACGGTCAGCAACAGGGGCTACGGGCAGCGGTCAAATCCGACAATATTCTGAATCGTCTTACCATGTTGTCGGCGAGGGTCGCGTCGGTTTTGCCGCCTCCTCCCATGCCGCCCAGGGCGTTGAACATGCCGGGGCACAGGAAGCAGACAAACGACACCATGATGAGCTGGGTCTGGGGCGAGGCGTACCACGGGATGTTGAAGCCAAAGATCCGGCGCTGCTTGTATTTCCATCCGGCTGGGAGGGGGACGTCGACGTGTCCATCGGCGGCGGCGGCGGCGGCAACGGCTGGACCATGGTCGACAGCTTGGTCGGCCGGCACGGTCGTGTCGGCGGGCTTCTTCTCTGTGGACATTGTTGGCCGTCAACTCGCGTCAATTGATTGCGGTGGTGTCGTCCCGGGCACGCGGGCAGCAAAGGAGAGCGACGGACTGCGGTGAGCGGGTGGGCGTCGTCTTCGCCATGAAGATGAAGCGCAGACGCGGGAGCGGAGCAGAGGACTTATGAATCAAATATATGTCAATACGAAGCACCAGACTTGAGCGACCAGACACGGCGAGCTGTTGGCAGGGGCGAGAATCTGCTCCATGCCGTCCTGGTCGTAGTGCCAGCGTCATCTCCATCCCGCTGCTACCCAACACCTGTCATGGACTCGGGATGAGATGGGGTACATGGCACCATTCGCATCACCACGTGAGCCGACACGCCGACAACGTTGCCCTTGAGCTTGGAGGGCCACGAGAGGCGTTGCGCACGCTTGGCGATTGACGGCTTTGGCGTGGTTCCGAAGCCACGGCAACCAGACGCCATTTGGAACATTTGTTGAACCCTTGGAACATTGAAGACGTCTTTGCTACCCACCCCCGCCTCTGGACTCTGGAGTCTGCATCCCTCTGCATCCTTGCTCTCCTTGCCTGGGATGGTTACATTCCACCCACGGGGCAGGTTACACTGCCATACAGCGCCGACAAGGCCAACATGCAGACACCAGACGTTTGTTTGGCTCGTGTTGGCTCGTGGCGGCTTCAACGCGCTTACATGTAGGGTCAAGAGGGTGTGCCAATGCGAGTGGCCGTTGCTGATTGGAGGGTGCGGTCGCTGCTTCTGCAAGCCGTGGTTGACATGAACATGTCAACTTGCTCGGGTGGGAGGTGGTCACGACGGGAGCACGAGGACAGGGGTTGCGACGAGAGGCAGCATTTCTGCACGGGGTACTCCGTATTGATTGCCAAACAAACAGCCCAGGTAATTATCCCCGTTGTCTGGGCGGATTTTGCCGTGCCAGCGGGAAACACTGGCCTCGGCAGCGCAGGGACATGGAACTCGGAGATTTGCTGGGCAATCCGGAGTCCCGTTATGGGGAAGTGTTTCGCATCGAGATTTTGTCTGGAATCTGCCCACATGGCGGCACGAACCGACATGCTGCAACTTGACGTCTCTCGTGGAGTCGTCGCAGCCCATGGGCTTTCCATGTTCCTTGGCGTCCGGGACGCGACCAGACACAATTCACCTCGTCTGACTTCAATGTTGACACCTTGGACGCCAGTCCGCCACGACAGCCGCACCAGACATTTCGCAACATGAACATTGAATGCAACTACAGCAATCGGGCCTAGTCCCGGGTCAACATTGAAGCCAATCACAGCCAAGCAGCAGGCTGTCCGAAGCCGACGGGCCATCCATCAGCAGATACTTACTGGTCCATGTCGCTTCGGCTGTTGTCCCATGGGGAAGAAGCCATGTATGTATGTATGTACACGCTCCACCGGGGGCCAAGATGGTGCCCAAATTCCATGTCTGTCTAGCATACTCGTGCGCCAGTTATTTCATCAATGCTGCCACACCGTGTCGTCAAGTCCTCAAGGTTACATGTATGTACTCCGTATGCGTCGACGGTCTAGCACGCGCCGGCGCAAGCCACACGCGCAACCCCATGGATTGATCCTTTGGCCCATGACACATGGCCACCATGTGCCCATGTCTTCCAAGTGTAATATGGCATTTGATTGTTTCATAGCTGGCAGCATATCCTTCAGGGAGTCCACTCCCAAATAAATGTGCCTTTTCCTCTCGACATGCACGCGCTCATCACCAACACTTGGCCAAGACGCGACACCACGCTTGCTTTCATGGAGAAAGGCCAGGACGGCCTTGTGTCTCCGAGTAGGGATGCGTCGATTGCTCTCCCATGGAAAGTGAATCAGGCATTATTCTGCCGGGGGCCTTGGGTCGCCTGTACAACGCCGTCAGAGTGCCAAAACATGACCACGACCCTGCGCTCGGTGAACGGAAAAGGAGAGTTGTGTGGGGCGTCGCAGGAAAGCGAAAGAGGCAGTGAGTATTTCGTACATGGTCAGGTTCAAAATGTTCATGGTGTCTGGGCACCACAACGGCGCACCTAGGTCAGGCTAGGTGTGCGCACCTTCAGCCGCGCACATACGTCTCTTGATGGTCAAACTCGGACCGGCAGAGTTGAGCCGCTCTCCGCTCCAAAAAGCATCTCCACCTGATGTGATGCTACGCTGTACATATGCACTCGGGGCAAGAAGAAAAGGCATGACATGTATGTACTACTCCGTACAGGACAAAAACAACCCACCTGCAGGAGCTTGGGCCAAACACATCTTGGACACCGTACCGAGTATAAAGTTGACCCTACCAAGGACAACTGCTCCAACGATTTGGCCAAGTATCGAATCAATACACGTATATTTATTATGGAGTCTGGTCCCAAAGGTGTACCTGCGTAGCGTCTGCCTCGAGATGGCGGAGGTGGATCGATCAAATCAGCCGGACATCTGGAGTCTGGGGTCAGGGGAACATGGAAGCCTCTTGACTCCTGACCCCTCGCGTCTCGAGCCTTGACCCCCTCCAGATGGCAGATGCCCACCCTCGGCAAATCGCCATGGTGGAGTCGTCACAAGCCGTCAAGTCGCAGTGATGCTATAAGAAAACAAAACCCCTTGGGGTTGGCATCTCTTGTGCCTTTCACAGGCGAGACTCTTAGGTTCTTGTCGTTTCAACGGACCAGACAGACAGCAAGCATGGGTCGACGACATGCCAATCCGCTGCACAACCCGCTGCACTATGCGGCACGGCAACCGCCTTCCGGCCCCCCGGTGACCGCAGCCGCGGCCGGGCGAGCCCTTCCCAGCTACGACTACGGTACGTTCTGCCGCGCGGGCTGCGTCTCGTCTGCTAACTGATTGACCCGTCTAGTCATTGTGGGCGCCGGCGCGGCGGGATGTGTGCTCGCCAACAAGCTGTCCGAGGACAAGGACGTGTCGGTGCTCGTCCTCGAGGCCGGCGGCGACAACACGAAGGTGTTGGAGTGCAAGGTCCCGCTCATGTTTTCCAAACTCTTCCACGGCCAGCATGATTGGGACTACTACACCGTGGAACAGGAGGCCGTGGCCTCTCGCCGACTGTACTGGCCGCGCGGGCGCATCCTCGGCGGCTCGTCGTCCATGAACGCCATGATCTACCACCACTGCTCCGCCTCCGACTTTGACGAGTGGGAGTCGGTCCACGGCTGCGACGGCTGGGGCTATCGAGACCTCGCTCCGCACTTTCGAAGCGTCGAAAAGTTCACGCCCAACCCGGCCCGCCCGGCCATCGATGCGGCGCACCGTGGCGACGCCGGCAAGTGGCAGACGGGCTACTCGTGGCTGTCTCAGATTGTCGAGGACGGCTTCCTCCCGGCCTGCGACGACGCCGGCATCCCCCCCAACAGCGACATCAATACCAAGAACGGCAGTCTGGGCGTCACGCGGCTGCAGACCTTTATCGACAGCAAGGGGCAGCGGTCGTCGCTGGCCACGGCCTTCCTGACCCCGGATGTCCTGCGCCGGCCCAACCTGTACGTGGCCTGCGGCGCCCAAGTCACCAGGGTCCTGTTTGACCGAATCAACAATGCCGAGCCGACTGCCATTGGCGTCGAGTTCCAAGTCTCCCGGGGCGGCGAGCGGTACCAGGTCCACGCCGGGCGCGAGGTCATTCTCTCCGCGGGAGCCGTCAACACGCCCCAGACGCTCATGCTCAGCGGCATCGGGCCCGAGGACGAGCTGAAGAAGCACTCGATTGCGCCTGTCTTTGCCAACGACAACGTCGGGAGGCAGCTCAAGGACCACCTCTGCAGCAACGGCGTCTTGTGCAAGTCCAAGAAGGGCTCGACCCTCGACTACCTCGCCGACGACATCAAGGCCATCCCGGCCCTGGTGCAGTGGCTGCTATTCGGGACCGGTCCGCTGACCAGCAATGTCGGCGAGGCCGCCGCCTTTGTCCGGACCTTTGAGTACGACTTGCCCGGTCTCGTTCCCAAGGACTACACCTCTGGCGACAAGGCCCCGGACTTGGAGATTATCGGCGCGCCGATTGCTTTTATCCACCACGGAGAGGAACGGCCTCTGGACGATGCCAATGTCTTTAGTCTGGCCCCGATCGGCCTGCGGCCACAGAGCAGTGGCACAATCCGCCTCAAGAGCGCAGACGTCTTTGACCACCGTAAGTTGTATCCCCGTACATGTATGCAAGGCGAGTCCTCGGGTATACTGACAAGTTTTTTTTCTCTCTACACTAGCCATCATTGACCCCCAGTATCTCACCGACAAGGAGGACAATGACAAAAAGGTCTTGATAGCCGGACTCCGCCTCTGTCTCAAGATTATGCGCAGCCCAGCCTTCCAAAAGTACTTGGACCCCGTCCCCGCGAACGACGACCCTTCGTCGTACTGGTGGCCGTATTCGTGCAGCGATCCCGACGCCGTGACCGACGAGCAACTCGGGCGCTACCTGGTCGAGCGGGCATTCACCCTCTACCACCCCGTCGGTTCGGCGAGGATGGGGCCGTCGCCCTCCGACAGCGTTGTCGATACAGAGTGCCGCGTGTACGGGACGAATGGGCTTCGCGTTGTCGATGCCAGCATCTTTCCAGAGCAGATTAGCGGGCATCCGACGGCGCCTATTGCGGCCATTGCACACAGGGCCAGCGAGATGATTAAACAGGGCCGCAAGACTGCCTAGGGTGCTTTGTCTGCACAGATGTCCGGTGCTTTTGGCTTTCTTTTTCTCGTATTCTCTGTGCTGGGTTTTCAAGTTGGGTACAGCGCTTCGTTTGCAGCTGGCTTTGTTTTCGCACGTCTGCTGAGGCTGTTGTCGGATGATGGGTTAGCAACCAGACTTGACATAATTGAAGTCTCGAGTGGGCTATTCCCCTCCAACCCAAGGTTCCCTTTGACCGCGTTTAGTCATGTAGGCAAATGAAACGACTATTCTCATTCTATAATCGTCACTTCATCGCAAAGGAGTTTCTTGCCTCCTTCCCAGCGTTTGTTAAATAGAATGGCAGATGCAAGAGCAGAGAAACCACCACAGGTCCACTTTGAGTAGCGATGACAACATTGAAACAACATGACTTGAGACGTATTTCACATCATCGAAGACGTGGGCGCTGCTGTACTCAACATTATAGCATATGCAAAGACCATGTCACCTTGAACTTGACAAACGTGACGCAAGTTTGTTTTGATTGACAATCTTGATAAATTCCGCGCGATCCCTCGGCCCCATGTCCCAATTACATGGCGTAAAAAAAAAGACAACCAAGAACAGAATCTAAATAAAAAAGATGAATCAAGCTCGCCAACAAGCTATACAACCTACCATATTGCGCCAGATCCCCCCAGTCGAGTCCATGAAGCGCAACGCTTCGCACGAGGCGAGCCACGCATTCGCACTTTTACTCTGGCCTCCTACCGATTTTCCGAAAGTATGCAAAGGGGCAAAAGACTATCCAGGCGAGAACCACATCGCCCAGCAAACGTGTCTTCAATTTCGCGCCTCGATATTAGCCTTTAGTACATGTGGTACAGTTTTGGCTACCGCCTCGCGGCTACACTATACATGTAACTACTATCAACTAATCCCGGACTGCGTGGGTATCCTATATCTCAAATCCTACAGAGTATACTGGGTGACGTGGCGGCGTTAGATTTCACAAGAACCGGTTTTTATGGCTACATAGAAGAGTCTGATCAGATTTAACCTGGATCCAAGATTTATGGCCTTCGACGCATTAATCGAGGCGATGGTGCGACGTGTCAACTATGTTCTAGCCTTTGGGACAAGCTGGCGGCGGGCTCGAATAGAAGCACCAGCTTAATAGGCCCTACCCCTGCATGTGGGCTCCTGGCGGTGGCTCTCGTCTACTGCATAATTACCGTATGAGTCATGACTAGGACTTTAGCTGTCTGCATGAATACAAATTTCTAATCTTATGCACTTTAGCCCCTGTTTAATGCACTACCAGTGACCTTATAAGAGGGTATATAGCTAATAAAAAAAAGGAAAAAAAGAGATATTAATACTTAATTTTTTCGAGAAAAAGTAAAATAACTAGTAAACTCTTATTAATTCCTGCTAAAATACTTCATAAGCACTTATTATTTAGTTATAAAATTATATATATATATATATATATATATATATATATAGCTATAAAACCCTGCTTTATTAATTTTATTAGGTTACAGGTAGTCAATTAAACAGGGGTTGAAGTGTATAAATGCGCATAAACCTTGTCAGGACCTAAAATACAAGGCGGGCACGATTAGTCCACTTGGTTGCTAACAAAGTTTTTAATAGCGTTGCAGTACTTGTTGGTACCACCAGTTTTTAGTACATGGCAGATCGCAATTTATATCAGGCAACCAAGGCAGCTTCTCAACCCGGGATTTGTGCGCCTTAAGGCATGCTTTTGTAGAGTTAAACTGCTTGTCGGTTTGGTCTCGCGATGGACCAAAGGAGGCGCAGTACCATTCCGTACCGCAGTCTTTATCAGTGCGTTGTTTTATACAGGCCTTGGGATAGGTGGAGGGCGGCGGGTACCAAAGCATTCTCTCGCCTAGAGGCATATCCTGCTAATGCTCCTCTAATAGCGCCCCATTTTTGGGTGGTTGTTCTTGCTGCCCTACATGGGACGGTATTGGGACACATGCAGGAGCAGTTGCAATGCTACACGCTAGCGTCGGGGCAACCGCACTGACCGTGGCCGGTACTGCCGCGCTTGCAAAGCTAAAAAGAATAACACACTTCATGGCTTATTATGATAAAATGAGGGCATTAGATAGCAAGTGCAAATAAATATAGTGTGTCCAATTGGTTATACAATATTAGTGTTGCGGTATCTAAACGAACTATTGAGGTTTGTACGAATATATATACTCAACTAAGTAAGTACCTTTACTTTCCCAAAGTTAGTACAGGTAAGATTATTGCCATTGTGAATTCTTGTTGATTCTATATATGTCTTCTCGAGTTATGCCCAGCTCCACCTGCATTATCTGGCATATTATCTGGTAAAGTCACAAATTGGCTAAAGTAGTTATGCACTTCCTTCAAGGCAGTGCCTATTACCTAGCGGCTAAGTGTGTAACTACACTCAAATCCACTAAGTCGCAGATAAGTAATAGGCATTATGCGACAAGTATATAAACTCCACCTGCTTTCTAAGATTTACGTTATGCTATTATAACGGCTATTTGTAACGAACGCGCATTATCAGATATGCCAATAAGATCTTCTCGCGAGTTATTGGGCACCCTATCTCAAATAACAGATAAATATACTTCGCTGTCTGACCTCGTGTCATTTCGACGACACCAGAGAGATCCATAACTAGGCCGAGTAGTATTTTGGATCCGCCTATCAAGCCTTGTCAAGTGGCGGCCAGCCAGCACCAAGATAAAGTTGATGAATATTCCACCAAAACTTCCCCTATTCTCCCTTTTATTATGCGAGCTACTTGAAATGTTTTATGCGATGGGTACTTAGTCGATACTTAGTAATTCTAATTCTCCACTCCACTATAAAGTTCGACTCGCTACAGTAATACAACGGGTCTCGGCATTGATTGACCGTGGAATTTACCGGGAGATCTGCGGCGGTTTATTCTACCCTTCCTTCGAGCTTATTTAGCATTTTGTATTATAATCTCGCGTGATTATCACGGGGCGAACCTAGGGTACAGGTAATAACATAATTGTGCCTTAAGGAGGAGGGAAGAAGAAGCTATCTAGGGCTATAACTATATAGTAGACTGATAGTCCGTGCTCTGTGGGTGCCTCAGGCAAGGTCGTGATAGTGCTGTAACAGTTTCAATTAACAGAGGCAGTTTTATTCGACAGGTAAACAGGTCTATAGGGACGGTGAGGGATATTATCTGGAGGGAGGGTCATGATCCCACCAAAGATACACTAAGTATAATTATAGTAGAAGTCGATAGTTACCATAGGCCTAAGTTCCCTGGCACTTATTATATTCCTATTTTTCTTGTTACCAGGCAATTCAAATATAAAAAATATAACTATTTGCGCATTAACTTCCCTCTTCGCCCCGCATATACTATCACGGTGTATAAAGCACAAGAATTAACGCTGAAATAAGTGGTATTGAACCTGGAGCAAAAGGATTATGCGCCGGGATTGTAAAGCATACGCTGGCATTTTAGCTGCGGGGCGTACAGGGGGCTGTTAAACAGAAACAGCCGATACTGCTAGCATTAACACGACATGTAAATGCCGCAGTGCTGCTACTATCAATGCAGAGGGGCTATTTATGCTCATTTTATAAGGTGTGGGAAGGATAGTAGATTCGTCATAGCAGGGGCTAGAAACCGATCAGAGATAGACGAAAAACTGAGTACTCGTGCTACGCCCCTACTTTTTTAGTTCCGGTCTTTGCCTGCACCTTCAGAGCCTTAAAAAGTAAGGGCGTGGCACGAGTAATAAGTGGATCTTTTGTGATTTGCCCTAAAACGCTTATACGAAGTTACTTGGGGGTCTTCAAGTTAACCCAGAAGAGTGGAGTAAATATAAGTAAGTATTTTACTAGTTATAAAAGCATTCTCGCTTTACAGAATCTAGCCTTTTTCTTATACTTCTTTATCTACTATCTTCTTACAATTGCTGTCTTGTCTTTATTCTTGGCTCTCAATATGCCTTCTCAAATTATTACTCTTCTACTCGGCCTTATGGCTACTACATCTATAGGACAATCGCCTAGTATTCCTTCTGGGTTAGATGATATATTCAAGAATAAATGTGGTACCGACTCACCTAGTGCAGAAGCTATAAATATAGTACACTTCACAAATGCTAGTGCTACTATTCAGAAGAGGCAAAGCGCTATAAGTGAGGAATGTCTCTATATCGATACTTTTATGCATATCGTGGCGCCGTCTCAAGAAAAGCTGCAAAACTTTGTTAGCGTAAGTAAAATTCCTTAGTTTTTTAAGTTAATACTAATATTAATAGACTGGGACTATATATAAGCAAATGAAACATTTAAATAACCTATTTAGTCCCGCTAAGATTACCTTTATACTCCGTAATATTAGCAGAACAGCTAATTCTCATTGGAGTCGGGGTCGTAAGGAGGTACAAATGAAAACTGCCTTACATAGAGGCAGCTATTCTAGCCTCAATATATATATTGTTGAGGAACCTCCTTTAAAACTCTTAGGCAAAGCGACATTGCCGTTCCCGGACTCGACAATTAGTCCTGATTATAATTCTCATCATACTAAGGATCAGATTACACGCGATGGCATCTACGTATCGGTACACAGTTTGCCAGACAGCCCGCCGTATAAGAGTACCAGCAGTACGGGGACTACGATTTTGAACTTGATAGGGACAACTTGTGTCCATGAAGTTGGCCACTGGCTAGGCCTCCTCCACACCTTTACGGATTATGAAAAAATTCCAATCGAGAATCGCACGCTAGAGACAATCTGCAGTGACCCTGGCGATGGCATTGATGACACTCCTTCGCACGTTCTAAATCGTCATAAAAATTACGCAAAATGTGCGGCGGCGAGACTTAGTTGTTCAGGCGGCGGTCCAAAGAGAATTTGCAGCGAGAAGCCTGGATTAGGTAAAGGCTTCACGATAGTTGATTCGTGTCCAGACAACCTTCCGAATGTGGGGAGTCCAGGCCCAGATCCTGTGAATAATATTATGACTTATAACCTAGAGTAAGTACTAGAAGCTTATTAATACGTGTATATAAAGATAACTAATATAGTATAAAGCGCTTGCCAAACTGAGTTTACGCCTGGCCAGATACAAAGAATGCGCCGCGTTTTTCTTGAAATCCGTACTTCAAATAACGAAACACCAACTACACAAGAAACTTTGATAACACCAGTAAGTTGAATATCTATAACAGGCCGATGCTCTCGAAATTACTTTGGCCAGTTATATTCCAATTATCTTTAAAGTGCTATAATATTATTTATAATCTAACATGGCTGGCGACAAAGGAAATTACCGATTGTACAAATACTGGCCCTAGTGCAGTTGATAAGGAAATAAAGCAATCGTCTCCAGATAATTTGGGAATTCCAGGCTGGAAATAATTGTTACGTCCTGGAAGCAGATTGTAAGGGGCACAGGGCTTATTCAGCTAGCCAGAAATGTGTTACAAACCAACACATTGATTGTATTGCAGAAGAGAAGAACTAGAAGCTCTTGAGAAGCAAGCTACCTATTTATATAGTTTATACTTCGGGGCAAATTATAAGACTTTTATTTGGTAGCGTTATTGTATCGGCGTCAGCCGAGTGCACTTTAACAGCCTAACCTGTTACACAGATAACTAGGTGTTAGAAATATTGTGATAATTATTAGCCTATAATATAGTATTGTTTAGTCGGACTAATATATCCTGGCTTATAATTACTTTACTTAATTAAATTAATATTATTTTATTTTAATATTATTAGCTAAGCTTATAAAATAATTTATAATATAAATTACTTAAAATAATAATTTTAATTATAAAAGCTATAATATTAAGTTATATATAAGTAATAGCTTTTTTTTTCTTAAACTTTTAAATATATATAAATTATATTTTATTACTAGTAATATTATTCCCTTATAAAACTAATAAGAAATATAAAGATAAAAAGTTATAATATATTATTTTATTCTTAATTTAAAAAACTTTCTAGCTACCTGATAAAATCAGGGTAGCTAGCTAGCCTTTTAACTACTAATATTAATAATTTTATAATATTTAGTAATTATATTAAGTTTGCTTATTTAATTAATAAAAGTAGCCTTATTTAAAAAAATCTAACTTTTAAGTCCTAGCTATTAGGCTTATTGTTATAGACTCAAGCTGTAGGCTCAGGTCTAGGTAGGATCCTAGGCGGAGCCAGACTAGACCTAGTATAAATAAACTCTAGGCTAATATAAACTATTAGGTTTATATAAGATTTTAAGCAGAGCTAAACTAGACTTAATATAAATAAAACTTAGGTTAAAGTAAAGTATATTAAGAGGAAAAAAGAGGAAATAAACCCTTTTTTTTTCTCTTTTTTTTAAGTTTATTCTTACTATTTAGTAACGTATATATATAGCCGCAAGTATAGCCAGTCCCTTACACTTATACTATTAAGAATTATTATAATTTAAGTAGTTTAAATATATTTTATAAAGTCTTAGTATCTATTTCTTTGAGTTTCTATTAACTTAGTCTTTCTTTTATATTTACCAGACCAAGTCGCTTGACAAAGGCCTTAAATAGTTGACTACTAAGGGCTTATATAAGACTATCCGCTACTATCTCTGCTATTGGTAGTTTACCGAGATCGGTCTTTTTTCAGCTTCCTGATATAACTAGTAGTCGTGGATATATTACGTTATAAGAATTATTATTAACTTAGCTTCTTTTAGAATACAAAGACTAGAATTTTAGTTGGCATTATTATGTATAGCCGCCTTTATACGAAGCCTGATGCGCACGGCTATTATACTCGAGTAGACAAGCATTTAGACTTTATACAGCAGTATATATAAAGCTTGTAATATACTACAACTACGAGTTTTAGCGTAGATTATTATAGACGCGACGGATCGAGCGTAATAGCGCCCCGGGCGCTAATTATACGAAATAAGAAGTATCTAAATAACAACTAAAAAATAGCGATAAACACGGTATTTATCGTGTTAAGAATATTTCTGACAAGTTAAACTGGTACGAAATAAAATGCCGCGATACAACAGTTAGTACCCTTATGCCAACAACGCCAAGCAACATAATACTTTTGATATGTTATACGGTCGAATAGTACAGGCTCGAGAGGGAAATAGATATATTTAGAGAAGCCGTAACTTGCTTTACGATACGAGGAGTACTCGCTTGTCTATCCAGACTCAGAGCAGTCAAGTATTCAATACATAATGCCTCAGAAAATAGTGCTTGCGAGCCCCCCAAGCAGCTCTCCGGCAATGCTGCAGCAAATCGCGCCTTTGCATAGATGACGGAGTAAAGGGCCGCGACATGCAGGGCGGCTTCGTGCTCATTTTGTCCAGTCTGCCCTGTGCCGCTATTATTTCTTATGGAACCCGGTTTATATTTATATTAAAATCCTTTAAAATAATATATATAAAAGTTTAAGCTTCAACACTGCCATGGCAGTCATCAGCGAAAAGTGAGCCACGTTGGCGTGAAGAGAAAAGTCGAGAAAGAGTTCGTGGTCAAAAGGACTGTCGGCCGCCCGAAGGAGAAAGTAGCCCCAAACGATGTAGATGACGGAAATCATTTCTTCGTACTGTTCCGCGCCGCCCGGCCCCCAGCGGGTAAGCAATTCCAAGACCCTCGGCAACGGTAGTCGCAGGACGGCTGCAGTGAAAGCCACGGTAAAGAAGACCAGCAGCACGGCGCCGAAGAGTTAAATGGATAATTGCAGCCATCGATATTGCACATTTCCTCGCAGAGAGGGCTCTATCGGTCGAGGCATTGTCGTGCGAGGAAAGAATGGCGGCTTGTACAGATGGATAAAGAGTGACGACGCAGAACAGGGACAAGCGATGGCACAAACACTTGGTTTTGCGTCTGGTCTTATACAGTCAAGAACATGTTGACGGCCGAGGCTGCAGTCTGATGACACAATCGAATTGTGGGTAAGAAAGCCCGACACAGAAGCGGTCGGACAAATTCGTGCGGGAATGGCAAAGGCTTTCGGGACGGGAAACAGTAATCCCGCTCTTGGTAAATACCGTGGCTCTTTTTACTATTATCATTTGTTTTTTTTTTTGTTTTTTTTTGCTTTTTTAAAAAAAGGCAATTAATCTCCCGTGTGCTTGCCTCTGGTATTACCGGTTCAAGTTGGCCGAGGACAGATGAACTAATAACTGGTACAAGGCACAACGCGAGCTGTTCTCAACTCGGCGCCTGTGCTTACAGTGAATATTCCCAAATAATAGCCATAATACGACTCTCATCACGTTACCGCAGCTCATGTCGAGCATCTGAATCTAGAAACAGCGGTTTACAGCCTGCGGGAAGCTTCCTCTGCTAGCATGACATACTCGCTGCCCATGTTGTGGTTGCAGCAACTCGGCAACGAAACCAACCAACTCTAGCAAGTGCCAGCAAGGCTTTCAAGCGGTTTTCCGGAGAGAGCCAGCCAACCTGGCAGTCTGTGACTTGAGGGCCGGGGTGTCGGCGCTGACCAAAGTGTTTACCCAACTGTTCCCCGACTTGCCATGAACAGACTTGACAGACCCTCTTCCCAAGCCGATGGGGCTGCAGTTCTCGTATATCGACTCATAGGCCTTTTCTGGCACGATAAAGGTCTCGTGATAGATGCCAATGTGAGTCGGGTTGTGGGACTTGTACCAATCCCACGTGGCCCGGTGCAACGGCTCATGCGCAAAGCGATGGATGCTTTCCACATTGCGAAAGTAGTAGGTAATCACTGCCATGTTTTCACTGTCGGCCGTGGCGCCCTTCCAATAGTTGACGCTCAAAAGGCCCAGCTCCTCACGTCGCCGGAGCATGTCCTTGTTCATCTTTTGAAAGCGATCGGCAATCTCCATTCCCAGCGGGCAAAGGGGCCCCAGGGGATGGTTATACTGGATGCCCAGGTTAAAGACGACGAGGCCCTGCGCGGCCGGCTCGGATCCGAAACTGCCGTCTGAGAAGGGTACTTGGCTCGTGGTGCGGCCCAAGACGACATTCTCCATGAAGGGGTTGACACCGGTGCATGGTGTAGTCGCGTGGATGATTATATTTGCAGTGAAGCAAAGAATGACTATGGCGCAAGGTATGATGGCATACTTGCTCGGAACAAGAAGGGAAATGACGAGTTGGAAAAGGGCGTATTTCACAACGCCATGTAGGCGGGAAACACGCAAAACATATTTCTGCCATCGAATCAGCAAGTGACCTCCTACACGGCTTCCATGTCGGGAAAGTCGTGGAGTCTGCGGAGTAACTCACCGAATAAATGCTCTTCGGGCCGAATTGATGGGGCCCATCTGAAGGCGAGAGTCGACCTGTAAAGTTGGTGGACATGATGCAGCTGCGCGTGAGGGAGTGGGAGTAGAATGGCGGCCAAGGGGCGTGCGCCTGTATTTCATCGTCTGTGTCGAGGGCACGGGATACCAAACAACAGGCACCTATCAGGTTTTATACAAATTCCCGAGAGAAATGCTGCCTGCCATGCCAACAACATAGGCCACGCATACTCCACAAGCGTGTTACTCTCGACACGCGTTGCGTTGGGCCATTCGGCCAAACTGTGCTCCGCAGGTTATTGTGTTTTCTTCTTGTTCAAGTGCTTCAGATTCAGGACTTTGACAATGTCTCCGAGCACCCGTCTCAGCGGTTGAAGCTTACGTCAACCTCGCACTCGCATTCGCTTTGTCGATGGGGACGGGACGACAGTGGGGAAGGCCGGATGCGCAGGGCCAACATGGCATCAATGACGGGAATTTACCGAGAGCCGGAACATGAAGGGCCAGGTCAGGTTTAGCCTGATCAAGTATCATGTTCTCATGCAAGAGCCCCTGCCGGGGTGTCCCCGGACTGCAGTCGGAGCAACGTCCGTCACGCCGAAAGATGGCGCCGGCTTCTTGTAAGTTGTATTCGGAGTGACGCGCCACTCCGCCAACCCTCATCATGGCCCATGGGCTCATGTCTGCACTGCTGTAGGCAGAATATTAGGAAGAGGCGGATGCAAGGACAATGCCACCGCACAGGCGGCTCCTGGCCTGCAACCACTCGCGACCAGTATGATGACGCTGCCGCAGGAAAACCCAGGCGACCAGCTGCACCTATCGATCCGGACCGCTTAAGAAGACGAGAAGAGCAGATGCATTGACATGGACTCTTGCCCCTCCTTGCCCGATCCGCCCTAAAGGGGATCAGTGAGCTTACGGTTGCGTTCCCCGCCCGTGCTGCCAACAAATATAAGGCAACATTGAACGTATACGTCGGATTCCAGTCGCTAGACAGCAGCCGGAACCACCGACAGCTCCGATTCCGAAGCTTCACAGGTATCCCAGCCCCGGCCATCTTGGATCGTCCAGTTACACTACTTTTTTAATGCGACCCATGGCTGACGAAGCTTCGGTCACCGGTGTCATCAATTGATGTCTGAGCCGTAGTCCATCAAGTCAACGTCACCCACGGGGCTGGGCTCATCCAACGGATTCTTCGGTGCGCCCAAGTTGCAGCCTGGTGCCAATCTTGCCATTGCTGGCTCATTCACAATGTATTCTGCCTAGTCGGTGGAAATCATGCTCCGAGCGGCCCAAGCAACCATGGACGATGCTATTTATTGGGAACGGTAGCTTTCAGATGACGCACAGGGACTATCAGCAATTGCCCATGTGAAGTTTAATATATATGCTGTTATTCTGTCATTCCTTGTTCATAATAACGGATACGAGTATCCACGGGGCAAAGCCCAGGTGCAATCATGTCCCGACATGGCCTTTACACGCTGCCCTTCTTTTTTCGGCGGCCCTGAACGCTCATTCAGCAGGTCGGTGGAAACATGGGCTGAGCTGCAAGAGGTCTTAAGCAAAGAAGCGTGGACCGAGGGTCCGGGACTACGGATGGTGGAGGTGTTGATGGGTGAGGAGATTCTCACGCGGTACTTGGAGAGGCAGATGCCGACTCGACGTTTGTGGGGGGTATGGACAGTAGGCAAATACAGAGCCGCGAAAAGATAGCTGTGCCACAGACACCCGAAGCGGTGACTCTGATGAGGACTTGATGGGCTGTGAGTTGGTTCGGTTTTGGCGCATGTATGTACAGCTCCCAAGAAGCAGACTCTGAAAAGGTAACACGGGTAGGATATATGCCAGTCTGGTGGAGTGACTTTTTGGTAATGGTACTTTATTCTCGCGATGCATCACGAGGTAGGGCATGAATAGTTAATTTATCATTCAAAGCATTATGGCCCGAGCTACTTGAATGGACTCCTTGGCATTATACCCTTTATCGCAGTAAGAATGTTTTGGGAGATGGCCTGTTATTCGCTCATGTACGGAGCACCAACCCTGGCATGAATATAATAATCTATCTGAGAGTTGGAATTGGTCGGTTCTATCAATTCTGTTAGTCATTTAATATTTGCAATCATGCACACCTAGCATGATGAGCAACAGGCAGCATTTTTCCCTGGCAAGATGGTTGTGAAGTGAGCAGGTCGAAATTGGATAAATACCAAGCCTTCATCTTGTATTCGCTCCGAGTTGAATCCCCAACCCAACCCGCAACAAAAACTCGATAGCTTCTCAGCAAAAGCCGTCCATCATCTCCATCTCAAGTCAATCATCATTCAACGACAAAGCCACCCCGTCATCACAATGCAGTATCCACTTGTCCTCGTCGCTGCTTTTGCTGCCGCCTGCATCGCCACACCAACTGCAGCTCCTGCGAGCGTGCAGAGCAAGGACGAGATGCCAACAGGGCTCTGCCCTAAAGATCAGCTGGTTATAGTCGACGGTTTAGGCTACTACCTGCCGCAAGCAGAGTGTTTGGTCCTGAAAGAAAGGTGTGGACAGCGAAACACGACTAAGCCAGCTGAGCTTAAGAAATGCATTACCAACACGCGTATTTCCGAGATTAAAGAAGCCCAGAAAGCTGTGCAGGACACGAAGCGCTCAATCTAGGCGAGAGTGCGAACCAAGCCACACCGGGTTCAGCCCGACACAACAGGCCTGGGGGCATTCAACATGCATCTCCAGGGCAATGTTCCGCTGGACGCCGACATTGGGTAGTTGACATCAATTGATGTGTAGGTGGGAGCGCTTGGGACGTGGGCGCATCAGGCATCAGAACTAGGGCCCAAGACATCAATACCAACATTGAATGTAGTGGATCAATATAGTCATTATACAATTGCGCTTCGTTTGACAAGACAAGGCCGAAGCCAAACAAGGCTTTGCCACGTGCCGGGAATTGAATGACGCCGTCTTGTAGAGTCAATAGAGCCAACCAACACCCACGATCCGCCGTCCGCCAGGCACCTCCATGTCCAAACTTTGACCTCGCAGTCCATTGACAGTTGACTTGACCCCGGTTACGCCGAGGCTGTCGGCTTCATCGGCGCCGGATCAGATGGTCCCGCCGTCAGAGGTTCGCGTACACCAAGACGGACGACACAAGGCCAGGGAGCATCTGGACCAGCCATATCTTTCTCGACGCCGTCGCGCCCCCGTACATGCCGGCGACGACGACGGCAACGCTGAAGAAGAGCCGGATCTGCACGGCGAACTCGGGCACGGGGTGAAGCAGCCCCCACGCGAGACCGGCGGCGAGGAGCCCATTGTACAGGCCCTGGTTGGCGGCCAGCGCCTTGGTTTGATGAGCGAATTCGGGGCTGAGCCGGAACGCTCGGCGGCCGCGAGGCGTCGTCCAGAGGAACATTTCGAGCACCATGATGTACATGTGGAGGATGGCCAGAAGGGCTGTCGCGGAAGCGGCCAAGGTTGCCATGGTGAGGGGGCAGACGGTGTGACGATGAATTGTGCAGTTTAACGTGTCCAGTGCTTTTTTGTAGGGACGGGGAGAGGAAGGAATATGAGAGGTCATGGGACTGCAGCTAAATATGTCGGGTGTCTGCACGTGTTGTCTTGCTCGGTTTGATGGCTGGGACTACATATGCACTGATGCAGTGTTAGTGTCGGTGGGGGAGGCTGGATGCGACCGTGCATTGTGCGTCACAGAGGGTTATTTGGCTTTTATTTGCATCAATCATCTTCATGTCCCTTTGTTGGTAGCCGCAAGCCACCTTGTCAACTTGGTCCTGGGACGACGCTACCCTTTAAAAGTCAATTAGACCGGACATGTCAATTCAATACGACCCCGCAAATCGTTCAGCCAGAACCAGAATGCAGGAGGCTCTATCCGTCCCGAAATGAGTACACGGCTAGGGATGATTCAATTGAACATCTGGTGTAAAAGCGAGGACAAATGCACCCTCGCCCAGTGGTTGCCATTCAGGAACCTCGAGCACCAAGCACCAAGATGAAGGGTGAACTACCCAACGCAACGCATGCCACGCATCGTCTGAGAATGTGAAAGGCAATAGATCTAGCGCGACATGTGTGTTGAATGCCTTTAATGTTTTCCACAGTCTTTGCCATCCCTCCTTTTTAGGCTGCGCTTGTGCAAATCGGTAACCCAGCCCAATGCGTATCAACATGTCCACTAGAATCACCATGTGGCTATAACAGCCTCAGCATCCGGCACTGGAGAGTTTTATGCGATTTGTTTGACAAGGGAGACTGATTTTCTTGCCCCGGTCGTCGGCCTGCGCCATTCTCAAACAAGCCAGGTGCTGTTGCTGCTGCTGCCTTTTGAAGAAAAGCAGATCCGAGGGCCAGCGACCAAGAGATGCACTTGATTGCGGTTTGCCATGTACAACAAGTGGTGCGAAACCACGTACAGACTGGTAAAGACTGTTGAAGAATATATAAATGCCGGCCTCCGTGCAACAGTTTGAGTGCTGGGAAGTGAGTTTGTTTTTATAGACAACACAGCCGAGGTGGCAAGTCTGCACGACAGCCATCGCCCGTGAAGCCGAGAACAATAGAGACTCGTACATTCTGGTCTGATGTTTCCATATTTTCCATGATTCTCCAAAATATGCAGTATACAATTTTTTTTTCGGGTTTGCCGTGGTGCCACTATTGCCTCTTGTCGTTGCGGCATTCTTGCACGTCCCCCAATACGTAGAGCTCGTTTCAGGTGTCTATTCAACAGCGGTTCCTCATTTTTTTTCCCTCGGCCATGAACAGTTGTCAGTTGCCCTCAGTATTACCCGTGAGCGTTTGCCAGGAAGTCAAAACACATCCGTGCAGCCTATTATGCTCCAATCATCGTCGACTAACCCACAGATGTAGTTGTTACACGGAAATGGCCCAATATCAAAGGTTACACAAGGGCTACGGTCACGGGATTAGGGCAGGCGGCCCTCACCGACTTCTTGCATCTATAGACACCTTTGGTCCCTTAAGGCCTCGAGGAAAACCAAGGACCTTTGATACCAAAGACTGTTATTAGATGAATTGAGCTATTGCTCCAAGCCCTCTTTCCGAGCCCTTGTCACAGTAGTCAAGCGAGATAGTCGCCGTACCAGAGGGTCCCAGAGTCCGGATACCTATGTATAGCAGAGTAACTACCTGCGAGGGAGAACCATGAGCTCTGGTGGGATAGTCTTGTCGTTGGCCTTGAAGTCTGGGTGTATGAACCCGTCCACCTGGCGACAGGCACGGGTGTGTATCAGCGCACAGTTTCCTTGAAGCCAGCAAGGCAGCGGTATTATAGCCCTTGCCAAATCATGTCGCTCGTCTGATACCTCTCGTGGGGACGAGCACCCCGTCTATAACCGCACGGTGGGAGCATTAGCTTTTGGATCTATTCACCATGGTTTCCATGCAGAGAACAGAGGCCCATGGACGCAGTGTCGATCGCATACCCAATGCTTAAAACTACGCAAAATAATTTAGCATAATAACTAACTCTTGTGGAAAGAATTCCAAGGACAGCTAGAGATTTGCGGTCTAAAAGAAACGGCATGAGACTTGGTGAGATGAATTCTAATAAAAGATTGAAGAATAGACCCAGCTTTGGATACGCTCTGGCCTTTTTCGCCTCGACTCCTCTGGCGCATTTCTTGGGTAGGCAAGTCCCGGTTTATTTGAGCTCTTGTTCGTGACTCAGCCTTGAAAATGGTACTACAAGATGTGTTTTCGGAAGAGTCCAGTTGTGCCCAGTTGTCAAGGCTTTTCCACCATCATGTGGGTTCAATTTGAGCTCTGAAGTCCATAACGCAAACCATCGGGTTGGCTGTCCAGTAAACCACCTACAGGGCCTGCAGATAACACACCTGCTGTGGTTAAGATTCCCGTGCTTCACACATGGTTGCGCGAGCGAGATATGCAATACCGCAGTACCTCCCGCATACAAGCACGTGAGGATACGTATGTTAAGATAGAATTCGTGGGCCATTAGTGAAAGGGGTTTTACCATCTCTGGCATGTTACATGGCCTGTCTTCAGATTGATGATAACCATTCCCTCTATTTTAACATGATATAGGTGTTACTCCTAGTTATGGTATAATTGAGGTAGCTTTGTAGGCAGAGCAAGGGTTTGCTGCGCAATTTTACGGTCTACAGCAAACAGCCGTCTCCAGTGATGTGGCAAATCAGAAGTCGTGGCAGGAAATGCTCCAGGAAGCTGGTGTCTTGTAGTGAAGACCTGCGTGCTCTTGACCATCCAGGAGTGTTGATGTGAAGCCAGATGCCCGACTATACATACGCCTCAGTTCCAACCCTATAAAGGGGGGCGTTTTTTTCCGAGACGACGCCCAGTAAGTTGAAGCGATGGCAACATCGAAGTGAATTCAGTCGTCCGTCGGCTGCCTTGACCCCCAATCAAAATTGGCCTTGTTTCGTTGGATGAACTCCTCCCTCTTCGTCCCTTCCGTAATGCACTTGAAATGTTGTGTTTACTTTGATTTCACCGGTTTTGCCACTGGCCGACGCGCTTGCGGAAGCGACAGGCGCACCCAAATCGTTAACCAAGTTATCCTCCGAGGAGTTGTCCTTGCTTCGCGTGCCACCCATGACATCAGTCGTGTTGCGCCCTCGATTTGTTCTCCAGGATCGGTGGTGGCCACCTGATGATAATTCGTAATGTCCTCGAGTAGATTTCGTCCCGACAGACGAGGCGGGACCTATAAACAGCGTACGGAGAGCTATTTACCTCGAGTCAGTAAAGACATGCCCGTCATGGATGAACCGAGACACACGCACGGGGAAGGCAAGAAGCAATGATGGCTACCGCAGTCTCAATCATGGAGACGGTGCAAGTAAGCATGGTCTCCTTCCGCCTTGAATAGTAGGCTCGAACAACTTCATTCTAGTTAGTAGAGGCGCGGTAGAAGCAAGCAACAACCAACGTACTGCTCGCAATGACTACAAAAAAGCCCAGCGCAAAGATGGCAATGACTCCAAGCTTCAGCTTCAGCTTCATCTGCAGCTTGAGGACCATTGAAATGGGTAAGCTAATAACTGTTTGCGGTCAGTAGGGACGAGACTCGGCAGAACCAAGAGTTGCAATCGGGGGGGGTTCGTACTAATCACGTCAGTGATGATATTTACTGCAAATTACCTAGGTTAGCCCAGTTGGAGCGACGTGTGGTCGGCTTCACTTACAAAGAACTGTTAACCAGTAATTAATGTCTCCCTGGCGTGGATCGCATTTGTCTGCATATTGTTAGCCTTCTGAGCAAGTGAGTTGTGGCTTCTTGCGTACAGTTTGGATCGGTGGACCATCTCTTGTCGTGAGGGTAACATTGGAAAATAATGTTCAAGAAAATGGTGCTCCAAAAAGCAACCAAGAGAGCCAAAACAATATTGTATATTAACTGCAGTCTTGTTCCTGGCGCTGCAAGCTTTTTGTAGAACAGAACCATGGCGATTTTGACCGCCCACAATGACGTGACATATAGAATCGACCCAGGGACAATCATCTTTAATTCTCATCAGCAAATGAGCCCCGTGGTGTCGTTGCGCAACGTCAATTACCTTCATGATTTGGATCAGTTCTTCTCGGCTCGCCTTGGGAATGTTAGCCATGCCCAGATTCCACATGTACTGTTGGATGACCAAGTCCCCAATGAGACAGCATGCTGCCAACGTAATGAGTCCATCGTCAATGGCCAGCGACCTTAGTCTCTGGTAGCGGGTGGACAGTCGAGCGACGAGGAAGAGGAGGGCCACAACGGTACAGATATACCATGATATCTGTTTCTCAATGTTAGCGTTGCAACGAGTGCCGTGTTCCGTTTGGAATACAACATACCACTTGGCCGATGCCCTCCTTTGCCATGGTGCTTCATTCATAAGGCAGTTGATGGCGTGCGGCGGATCGCCAGGCCAAGCGACTAGATAACGGGAGGTATTGGCTTTATTGTTTGTTCCACGACCCACAAAGACGCACAAACTCGGTCGTCTGACAGTTGCCCGGCATGGTCTTGGGATGCAATTGATGAACAGGGATTCTTGCGCGTGGTGCGAGAGGTTTCGGGCCTGGATGACTGATCAAGCTATTCCATCCACTTTTGCTTGATGGAGATAACATGAGGCATATAGTAGATACTATTAGCACCCGTCAGTCGGCTGTGAATACCATTTTCAATATTGGCTGATGGTCAATAGCCACCGAGGCATCGTAATATCGTCCACCGAGTACAAGGCTAGCAAGGAGATTTACGCTGGGACAGAGTCATGATCCATGCAAGCCGGATCCTCTGACGAGCTCAAGTGGAAACAATTCCCCATAGAACATGCCAAGGCTGCAAGGGGATTAGGGGCCAGTCGAGTGTCGATGTCAAGTCAAGTCCACCAGCTGAAAAGCAACCCATGCAAGAGATGGATGTTCTGGAAATCACAGGTTCTGGATACGGATTAGGTTGCCCCTTTCCACAAAACGGCCAGAACGAGCGGCCCGTCGCTGATATTCCATGGCGTCGGTAGCTGCGGATCCTCACGTCAACTATTGCCAGTGCTTGGCTGGTCGTTGTGAAGACGTCAATCTGGTGCGAATCAAGTCAATCTGCGCAGCGGGCACTCCCGTCGCATTTCGTCTCGGTGGAGCGTCTGTGTACAGCTTTATTATCCCAACTCGCCGTCGACCGATGGTGGATTGGGTGGGTTGATACGGAGCACACTACTCTTTTTGATGTGCGCGTTCATCTCGGCAAACTAAACAAGGTTGTCGGTAATGAATCAGGAACAACAAACTCGGGACTTGAGTGGGGATGTTGGGCCAGGCGAAATGCAGATATCTTGCAAACTCCTGTCACCCATTCGCCTATTCGTACTTTTGTATTATTTCGTACGGACAAGCAATTCACAAACACGGGCGTGCAACATGGGGTGCACCAACCTATGCGCCATGGCTCTACGCCTCGTGGCAACATTAACTATTATATTGGCCCTGACGGCCTCGGGGTTGGCAGACGCGGCTTCATGCAACCTGCCGTCGCCCAGTGCCGTCATCTCTCAGGGCGCCATCAGGGGATTTCGCGATGGCTACTGCAACGCCGTATATCTGGGCATCCCGTTTGCCGCCAGCACCGGCGGCAAGAATCGGTAGGCTCACCCACGGGGCGGCTCATATCAACTGATGCCATCAATGATGTTGATGTCAATGCGAACATTGAATGCTGATACCGCGCGGTTAGGTGGCGGCCACCGCAAAATGTCCCCAAGTCAAAGTCTGTATTCAAGGCCGTGTCCTATGGGCCGACATGCCCGCAGGCCATTCGTAACCCTCGGTATAGTCGACAGAGCGAGGATTGCCTGAATCTCAACATCTGGGCGCCGCCCAAGGGCAACAACCTGCCCGTATTTGTGTACATGTACGGCGGTGCCATGGTGACTGGTTCCAATAGCAACCCCCAGCTGCAGGGCACCAATTTCGCTCGCAAGGATGTCATTTACGTCAACTTCAACACTCGCGAAAGCATATTCGCTTCGCCACACTCCGCGGAGCTGCGCAACACCCATCCGGCCGCGTCACAGAACTTTGGCATCCTGGATGTTGACAAGGCATTGGACTGGGTTCGAAAGAACATCAAAGGTATGCTGATTGGCCCATTCTTGACAACACGAACATGGTTCGCTCGCTCACTATCCAATCTAGCATTCGGGGGCAATCCAGATCACATCGTCTTTGGCGGCCATTCCTCCGGTTCCGTGCAGGTCGATCACTACCTGTGGAACCATCCCGACACCTGGCTCAAGGGAGCCGTCCAGATGAGTGCCAATGCCATGTCGGGCCCTCCGTATGCCCCCGTGAATGAGGCTCTTGACGTGGTTGCAGCCGAGGTTGGCTGCCCTCCCAGCTCACACGGCAAAGGCCAACTCGATTGTCTCCGTGGCGTAGACGTGTACGCCTTCCAGACGGCACGGTTCAACTCGACATTCAACACATGGTTCACTCCCGTCATCGACGGCATCACTCGCCACTCGAACTACTTGGCTCGCTTCAAAGCCCGCAAGTATGCTGCGCATGTGCCCCTGCTGACCGGCAACGCCGATGGCGAGGGTACTATTTTCAGTCTCGTCTACGCAGCCGAGAATAGCGATTTCCGATCATGGATCAAGACTTTTGACGCCGACAGCTCCCACATTCCAGAGTGCGCTCTTGTCCGCGCGTATAAGCCCTCCGACTTTGCCAGCGGGCCCCTTCGTAGCGGTGTCCAGTATGGCGATGCTCGCTTCAACTGCCCCGTTGACTACCTCGTCGACATGCGAAGCGCTCGCCAGGATACTTGGGTCTATCGCTTCTTTGGCGCCTACGACAACGTCGTTGGGCCGCCCAACACGGCTCCCACGCACGGCACCGAGGTCCCCTTCTTCCATGGCGGCAATGAATGCTTCCAGTCCCTCAACAATGTCACAAAGGAGCAGCAGGCACTGGCCGACTCTATCCACGACTGGTTTGTTGCCTGGATCAAGAACCCAGCGGCTGGTCCGGGCTGGGGCAAGGTCTCACCAAAATCGCAAAATATGGCGAAAATAGGCGTCCCGGGAGATGAGTTGTCGCTGGTCAAGGGGTTCACCGGGACATACAACTCTCGGTGCAAGTCGGTATGTATGAGCTGTTCTCTTTTTGGTTGTCGTGTCGCTTACAAGGCGCTAGGTATATGCTCCTGCATTTCCAAAATATCCTGTTGTCCAGTCAATCAAGCCTGTGCTCGAGGCATTATTGTAAGACACTACATCTTCAGCATCGCGGTGAAGCAGAGTATATCCAACCGATGCACGTCGGCCATTGCGAGATACGCTTCTCCAAAGTTGGCCCAGCCAGGAACTTGGCAGTTTGTTTGTTGGTACAACATACCAAGACAAGCATTCTTTTGATAGTGTGCCATGAGGACCCGATGATAGAGCCAGGATACCGAATAGTGCTGTACCGAGTACACAATACTCGAGGGCGACGCTGCGACCAGAGGGAGACATGATCCAAAAATGGATGCTATTAGGGCCAACACTGCTAGCCATCTATTATACATGCTCTATTAGCCCCTGGCTTAGATACACTATACACACGCCTCCATTGAACCGTAAAATGCCAGACGAGAGTGCAGCTCTATTTGTTTCCCTTTATATCGCCAGTACCACAGAGACTGACCCTGTATATATACACACCAATATGCGATGCTAAATAATGTCGAGATGATGCTAAAAGTACAACGCGTTACGATAAACGCGACGAGGCAAGGACGCAGGGTGGTTGAGACGTCTATGCAAGAGCGTGTTCGTTCGTTGGCGGAGGCGCAGGCATCTAGTAGTTGCAAAGTCAGAAACATGGGCCGCTTAACGTGTTTAGCAGAAGGAAGAGTATCAGCCCACCTCCAATTTTGTGCTGCCCGCCATCATCTTCTGGAACCCAATGCCCACGCCCTCGATGACGGCAAGCAGCACGGCGCAGCCGATGGCGCCGTTCCTAGCAGCCTTGAAGCCGCCCCTGATGGCGAGAGAGCCTCCCGTCATGAATCCCGCGCCGATGGCGTTCCACGGGTCCTCCTTCCTTCGCGCACCCTTGATGGCGCAGTCGAATGTGCTGAAGAGGCCGCCCCAGACGCCAAAGTTGCCTCCTAGCACCGGTGCGCGCATCTTGACGGCCGTCATGGCCCCGATGCCTCGCTCGCCGTAGGGGCTGTTTCGGAACCCCTTGATGCCGTGCCATAATGTGCCGCCGATGGCCTGTGGGGAGAGTGAGTCGGGGGTCGGGCAGCAATTTGATGCGACGGAGTCGAGGCGTGACTTACCCCCATGGCGAAAGCGCCTCCGAAATCGTTCAAAATCACATAGGGACACGGGTCCCTTCCATGATCGAGAGCCATTGTACCGCGGATGAGGAGAGGGCAGGAGGGAAGCAGGCGGAAATCCCTATCGGAGATCGTAAAGGAGATGGTTCAACTGTGACGTGGTTCATGCTGCGATAAGATTTTTTTTTTTGGTGGAGCCACGGAATTTTGAGTGCCGAGTCGGCATCAAGTACTGCCTACCCTAGACTGGTGGGGCTTGAGCTTCGGTACAGGCCACATCCTCCAATCACGCTTCTTCCATGGCACCAGACAGATTACCGACTCGATCGAGAACATGACATGGAATAACTTGCATGCCTTCATACATCCCCAAGTACACCTAGGTGGCGTTTTAAGTTGCAGTCGATGAGCAACTATGCGTGCAGTTATTCCAGGCTATCCAGCCGTACGATGCCAACGGGTAGATCTTCTTGGGCTCCGTAGCAACTACTTCGTCTCCATTTAACGGACAGATTAGCTTTTGTATTTCATCTGCGGAAAGCCTTTATTGTTATGGTTTTGCGTGGGACTCACACTGAATTCTCAACTGTATTACATCGTCTATATCTTGTCTATTATTTCTCGTGAAGCAGAGATGGATTTGACAAGGCGTCTTTTAACATCTCGGTCCTTCTTATTCGAGTGTACAGATTTCATGGATACACATGACTTTCAAGGCAAAGGCCCAGGAGCTAGGAACCGCGAAGCTTATTACATAGTCTACTGCAAACCAACTCGACAAGGTATTCTACAGCACCTGACTGCTTGAAATGTACCACCAAAATCGTACAGCAACGCCAGTAATATCGCAGGTCACAAAGCTTCGAAGCGGGCGGTTGTTCATCCGTTCGTGGCGCATGGCTGAAAGAAGACGACGCCACCATGCGATATTGCCCCGGTCATTCGATAAGCATCAAGCCTCCTACACTTCCCCCTTGGCCGTCGTCCCGAATCGCACGACATTGGCACGGCCTCTGCCTTATTCCTGTCCCGGTGTTCCGGCTGTCGCGCCCCGGAATGCCAAACGTATAAATACTACCAGTCGCTTGCGACGCCGTGAAATTTGACTGGGTGGCACAAATGTCGATCTTGGAATAACACCGATTCCTCAAAAAAGGCCTTGCACAATACGTACATGTGTACAATGCCTTCCATTCACACTGAAGTCGAGATTAATTGTTCTCCGGAGCAAGTCAGAAAAACCGTAGGTATACTTTTGGTCCCAGAGGCATATAAAATGTACAAGGCTGACGGTTTCTAGTTTCTTGACTTCTCATCCTATCCATCCTGGCCCACAACGTTCATCAAATCAATCGCACCAGTTGATCCAAACAAGCCAATTGAGGCAGGGTCCAGGCTTACCATTGAGCTAGAGGGAATGTCCATAAAGCCAATCGTAGTGACCAACTCGGCTGATGAATTCAAGTGGGTAGGCAAACTCTGGAACATGCCTGGACTCTTCACCGGCTATCACTACTTTAAATTTATGCCCAGCGTGAAGACGGCGGGTGCCACGACATTTGTGCAGGGCGAGGATTTCTCTGGAATCCTGTCATTTCTCATGGCAGAGGGGTCCAGGTTTGGGTCATCAACCAAGAAGGGGTTCGAAGGGTTTAATCAAGATCTGAAGAAGAGGTGTGAGAGCCGGAACTAGGATATCCTTTTCTTGGACATGGCTAGTACATTTTTGGCTTGAACTGTCTATATAACTATATGAGATGAGTAGTGGTGTGTGGATAGAAATGGCTATTTCACGTTGTGAACAAAATAGTTCATGGGGGGGTACTCGATAATCTCAGTCTTACGAATACATAAAGGGGAAAACCTACATTTGGTAGCGTCCCTCAAGCAATGTTCTATCGAATTCTCGAAGACGCATCGTACAAGCCTCTCTGTTTCCAGCCTGCCAACCTCCTTGCACATGTCCCAACACAAGGGCTAGCTGAAGCGCAGCATCAGCAACCCCTGGTACACTTGGCGTCAGCGAATGTGTGACAAGGATTCAATACAGAAGGCTTGGAGCAGAAGGGCTCAACTTAATAATAATCTCAACGGGTCTCCAAGGTCTTTAGTTACTAAGAAAAAAAAAGTAACTGCTTTATATATATAAAAGGAATACCTAGGCTTAAATCTCTTACCCGGGCACGTATCTAAGCTGTGTAACTAATAAGTCCCGTATCGGTGACGCCCCGTTATTAGGCTTCACGATCTGTTGGGCCTTTTCCGTGTAACAGAACGCTTGAAATATCGGAAGTTGCCCTAACAGACATTGCATAATCGGCGATAGGAAACGGTCTTTGTTATACTGACAAAGCTATATGCCTGACCGAGCTCCGTCTGCTGCACTCCATTGCGGCCTGCACCTCCCAAATCATCATCCAGGCACCCCGATCAACGACACCTTCTTTCTATCGCCCCCCCCTAGCAGTCCTGCCTCTAGGCTTATCAGGCACAACATTGAGTCCCCTCGTGCCTCTCAGTCCCATCTTCCCGACAACACCCTTTTGAATAGGCGGCGTCTCTGGCGTGCCCAGCCCATCGCGCGCAAAAATGTTTGCTTGCCTGACAAGCTCCGTTTTGTCCCACCTCAAACCCTTCATATGGTTGTTATAATATCCCAGCCACGCCTGGTATATCTGCGCCTTTTGATCCTCCTCAATGGTATCCAGAATCCGCTCAACTTCATCAGCAGACGATACATCTGCCTCATGGGGTATAAAGGTGAAATTCTTTAGGGTCCACTTCGGGAAGAACGATTCTGCCTCACAAATGAGGAAAATACCACGTCCTTCAGCATTGGCTCGTGCCGTGCGGCCAAGACGGTGGATATAGCTCTCCTTTTCCGAGGGGATACCGATTTGGAATACAGTCGTCACGCCAGGAAAGTCCATGCCTCTGGCAATGACATCCGTAGCTGTCAAAATAGCAGATGGTGCTTCGCGGTAGTCATTCGTGATCTTGGTTCGCTTGTTCTGCGTCATTCGGCTGTGGAGTGTAGACACGGGTGGCAAACCGGGGATCCTAGACAAGACATGTCCGTAGAAGCCAGCCTGCGCAGCCGTAGGAGCGAAAACAATGGCCTTGAAGTTGTCGTGCTTGGCGGCTTCTTCCCTGATGGCGCCGACCATGCCTGCGGTGACGGATGCAAACGTGGGCACCGTGATGAGGACTTGTGGCACGCGTTCGTGCGTGTTGACTTCGCCTTCGGGAATGGTGGAGATGAATTTGTATCCCGTCGATAGGACAAGGCCAGCAACCTTGTTGACGCGCTCGGCAATAGTGGCTGAGAACAACATGCTCTGTCTGTCGACCTGTTTCTTGTCGGGCAGCTTGCTGACGATTTCTCGAAGGGCAGGCACAAACCCCATGTCGAGGAGTCTATCGGCTTCATCTAATACAAGCGTATCCAACTCCCGAAAAGCCCATAGGATATTTTCATTGGACATGTGGTCAATGAGCCTGCCAGGCGTGGCGATGAGAACGTCGCAGCGATCAAGAATTTGCTTCTCTTCGCGGTCCTTGTTTGTGCCACCGATGGCGGTGCGCACGCGATAGTCGGGCAATCTTTGGAGTAAAGAGGTGGCTTCCTGGGCAATCTGCAGCGCGAGCTCGCGAGTGGGCGAAATGGCGAGGAGGGAGATGGCTGAACCACCGGGTTTCTTCTTGGTGATCATGTTCTGAAGAGCGGGGAGCAAGAAGGCGATGGTTTTTCCTGTACCGGTTTTGGCTTGGACAAGACAGTCGTGGCGACCTGGCGGCAAGAGCTCCCAGAGAGTGGCGGCCTGGACAGGCATCATGTGGTCAAATTTAAGGTCCTTGGTGATGGCTTCGGTGAGCGAGGGATGGAGGTGCTGCTCATCGAGTTCAGAGAACCTCGGCGTGTCGAGCGGAACGGCTTCTGTGAGGGGCGGCTTTGCATCAAATGGCAGAGGCGGCGTCTCACTGCCGTTGATGGGAGATGGGGTGTCGATGGGAGTGTCGTGATTTCTTTGCGCTGAGCTTCTTCCCGATGCCTGAGCATGGCCGCGTCGACGTCCACGGCCATGGTGGCCGCGACCACGGGTCTGGCGTTGGCCTTTCTGTCTGTCGCTCATCGCGAAGAGCTGAGAGGAACACTGCCTCTATGTGCCGCTCTCTCGATGGACTTTGTTCCTTCCGTACGTGGACGATGGCAGAAGGTCAGAAAGCTGGTGCCGGCTCACGGGGGATCTGTGATTCTGTCAAGGTCAAATTTGCATCACTGCTGACCCACTTGCGATGTCATGAAGTCTGGTCAAGCTGTCGTGCTGAACAGTCCACAAATCTGGCCAACAGCCACGTACGCGCCGTGCAACATGGCCGATATATACATGGCCAACAGGGTACTCCGTAGTTGGGTCTAAATTGGGCGAAAACAGTCTACCCTTCTGATAAAGGTGTCTTGAAGTTCAATTGAGATTGCCTGATCACTCATCCACCTTTATTTCATTGAGCCTGGGTAGGTCACGTGCACCCGCAGCAACGCCCTCTGCGATCCGTGTGATCTTTTCGCTTGTGCACATGTAAAAAGTCTTGCACATCTTGTCATTGACCTCAAGCCACTTATCCCTTAAACACTTAGTGGTAGCCCTTTAGATCCGAGTCTTAACATTATCGGACTATTTCCCAGTTAATAGTAACGGCGACTACTACAGAGATGGTAACGCCTACCCTAAAGGAGGAACTAGAGCATCAATTGATGACTTGTTGGGTTGGGTCTGGTACTTGGTGTGCAACGGTCCCAGCCATGGCTGCTTAATACTCGTACTGTATTGCCTGTGTGGATAGCAGAGAACGACTGGACCCGGCCTGCACCATCAATGACTCGTCTATGTCCTGCTTTGGGTTGTCAAATCCCTTTGAGTGCGCTAAGGTGCCACCTCCGTACCTGTCTCCACCCTTTTGCAATACCTTAACGGTACCTTTTTTTGTGGTGGGTTTACTAGATATTTAATGTACCTTAATGTATATTATGAACTATAGGTACTTATAATATTATACTAATAACATGTAAGCTAATATACCTTTTGATTTAAGATCTGTAATTGGCTCACATCCTTGCTCGCTACAGAATCGGCACCTTAGCGCACTCAAAGGGATACGAAAGCCGGCGCTGTGCCGGGTAGGATCCTCCCCGGATATGTCGCGGATGGTCGTGCAAGGTGCAATCCCGCGAATGATGTTTCCGAATGGACGCCATCCCGGACACCTCGGCTGCCCAGATCGAGGACAGGCTGCGGGACCAGCAAATTCTGTGGGGAATACGTCGCACATCGAGATGCATGCCAAGGGCGGGATCCTTACTGGTCTTGGTGGACCTCTCGTAACATTATGTCCGGCGAGAGGGGATCGACAGTTTGGGGCAATTTGGATGGCACCAGTGGTTGCCTGGACAATTGTAAGCCGGAGAGTTGGCGTGGGCATTGCCTTTTCATTTCTCTTTGCCCGTAGGGACATGGGACATCTGGAGGGAGCATCGTAGTCACCGGGGATGGGACAGACGCCCGCGACAGGAAAGGGGTTGAGTCTTTGACTAGGATTGACGGATGGGAGCGGCGTCAAGGGGGCACGGGAGCCACAACCAATCGACATTGCGTCTGGTCTGGTATGAACCTCGGTAGCCGCAGAGACGCTGGGCCTGTGCATCCGTCGGTTGGCTGGTGTCGTAATGTCCAGTCTGGTTGTCTCACAATAACTCGACGCGTGTCGTCCGATTCAGGGCCAGCGGGGACGCCAGGACATTGAACGGCCAACATTGAACGCTCATCCGCAACCTACTCAAGTACCAGACCAGACCAAAGATTGGCTTGCTCGCCATCGGCTGCATTGTTTGAACCCTGCCAACCCCGCAGCTGCCGGCTTTGTACATCCGTATGACGTGGGCACGGCTGTGAATGGCTTGTCGCGATATACGGCAGAACCCCCCAGCTCACACCCCCAAACCTCACCCAGTTCATTTGCAACCGTAGGCTTCGTACCAGACGTTTCTGTAATGGACATGCCCGCGGGTTCGCACCCAACGAGGCTGCTGGTATGGGCAGCCGTCGGCTTGGCCGTCATCTCCTTGCTTGTCCCCATCGCCAGGCGATTCTTCGTCCGGCGCCAGATTGCGCGTAGCCATGGCTGCCGACCGGTTGCAAAATCTGCCAACAAAGACCCATTCCTTGGCATAGACACAATACGTGCCAATCTGAGGGCGGCTCGCGAGCACAAAGCCCTCGAAACAAGCCGCGCGAGGACTTCCCGCTTCGGAAATACGTACACGTCGAGGCAGCTGTTGCTTCCCATCATCGTGACCGTGGAGCCCGACAACATCAAGACGGTCCTCGCGCTCAATTTCAAGGACTATGGCATTGGCCATCGTCTAGAACGCTTCAGCCCCCTCCTCGGGGCAGGCATATTCGACACGGATGGCGACCACTGGGCGGCGTCGCGCGCTCTTATCCGGCCCAACTTCACCAGAGACCAAGTAGCCGACTTGGCCTTGTTTGAGAATCTGATGCAGGACCTCTTTGCGCTTATTCCGCGGGATGGACAGACCGTCGTCGACCTGCAGGACCTGTTCTTTCGCTATACAATTGATTCTGCCACCGAGTTTCTGTTTGGACAGTCAGTCGGCAGTCTGAAGAAGACGGCCAAGACGGAGCTGGATTTCGCAGAGGCATTCAATTATGCGCAGGACGCCATCAGGATGCGCAACATCCTGGGACCGCTGGCGAAACTCTACAGGGATCCCAAGGCCGACAGATGCAATAGGATTTGTCGCGAGTTTGCCCAGCAATTTGTTGACAAGGCCGTCAGCGAGGTTTGGTCAGAGGGCGACCCGGCCGAAAAGCAACCATCAGCGGACAAGTCCAAGACGCAGGGCGAGAAATACATCTTCCTGCGCGAATTGGCAAGGCGTACATCGGACAAGCGCCGCATCTTGGACGAACTTCTCAATGTTCTCCTTGCCGGTCGTGACACCACGGCCAGCCTACTCAGCAACATGTTTTTTATGCTTGCCAAGAATCCGGCCATCTGGGCCAAACTGCGAAATGAGGTGGCCGTGCTGAATGGGCAAGTGCCAACCTATGAGATGCTTCGTAGTCTCAAGTACTTGAAGTGCTGCATGAACGAATGTAGGTACAGATAAGACGGCATGCGTCCGTCTCCATCTTGTCGTCTTCTTCTTCTTCACTAACACGACTCGCCAGCGCTACGCCTCCACCCAGTCGTGCCCATGAACTCTCGCGAGGCCTTGCGAGATACTATCCTGCCAGTCGGCGGTGGGAGTGACGGCCTGTCACCGGTATTTGTACCCAAGGGCACGCACGTCGCCTATAACGTGTACGCGATGCATCGACGGGCTGATTTCTACGGACCGGATGCAGATGAATTCCGCCCGGAGCGCTGGGAGAGCAAGGAGCTGCAGCCGCGATGGGAGTATCTGCCTTTTAACGGAGGGCCGCGCATATGTGTCGGCCAGCAATACGCCCTGACCGAAGTGGGATATGTTACTGTCCGCATAGCACAGGAGTTCCAAAAGCTGGAAAGTAAGGATCCGGGGCCGTGGGAAGAGTCATTGACGCTGACGCTTTGTTCTCGAAATGGAACCAAGGTTTGTCTTGCGCCAGCATAAACTCGACAACAGGGTCTCTACTCCGTGCTGTATTGCACAGGTTTCATGAGCTCTATGCTAAATTTACGCTTGTGTTGGAATCATTTCATTACATAAAATTTAAATGACTGGATCCCCGGCAGATTGTGTGTAACGTTTGGAAATTGGGAATGTGTCATTTGTCGTCTAGCTACTCCGTACTCGCCATCTATTATAGGAAAGAACTCTTTGACAAAAGTTCCCTGATCATTGGCTAGTCTACCTATTCGACTTTATTAGCGTATCATAAATACTACATCGTACCGGTTGCCTCTGTGTTTCTGTAGCATTGACATACTAGATACTACCAGTATCCCACCAATGCCGAGTTATATCAGCTTGCCTCCCACCGGGCATCCAATGTAGTGGAATTGGTAGCAATAGCTGCACCTCCGCATTTGGGGAATCATTCCCCCCAAACTTGCCCGTTTAGGGAGGTGTGCAATGCCTTGGTTCTGATGGGTGGCCGTCCGAGCGCAATACCCTCATCCAACGTGGCTGCGGCATTGCGTACCCCCAATGCTCGTGTAGTATTCTATGAGTGACCCTGGGATGGCCAACACGGCCGGGCTTCACGTACCGATATGCATGTTCCATGCTACGAGACATTGCCAGACAGCAGGTCTTAAAAGAGGCCGCCTCGCCCGCTGTACATGTAAAGGTATCTTGACTGTGGCCGCCAGACTCACCGTTGCAGAAAAAATTGCCTTGTAGACGATTGAAACTACTTAAACTTTATTATTATGCATACTTTTAGCCTGCTTTCCCTTATACTTGCCTGCCGTCTGGCCGCTGGCCATCCTGGTGAGGACCATGCGGCTGAGTTGAAGGCCCGCGGAGAATTTCTGCAGAACCATGTAACCAACTTGGATCACTGTGCTCAAGAACTAGAGGCCTCTGGTGTCATGAAGCGCGGCATACAGCGCAGATTGCACATGGTCAATAGGCTACGCGAAAAGCGTGGGTTGGAACCCCAGAGAGATGACAAGCAATCCAGAGACTGGGGTGCCATGGAGGCGTCCCATGCATCACTCTTCAAGACAACCGCGTCATGCGTTTTGGCCCCGGAAGAAATGGTTGGACCTTATTGTAAGATGCCAGTCGCTTTGCTATTCGAAGAGACTCTAATTTACCGTCAACGGTAGATGTCGCCGGCGAGAGTGTGCGGTCCAACATTGTCGAAACCCAACAGGGCATTCCTATGGAGATTGACGTTCAATTTATCGATGCAACCACCTGCCGGCCGGTGGAAGGGAAATATGTCGACGTTTGGCGTATGTTTAGCACGAATCTCGCACCACTCTTTCTATTCCATGTGCTAACAGCCGTGATTGTACAGAGGCCAATTCCACTGGAGTTTACGGCGGCGTCATCAACCGAGAAAACGGCAATGGCCCGGCCGACCCAAACAACCTAAAGAAGACCTTCCTCCGAGGTGTTCAAAAGACTGACAACGATGGGGTTGTAAAGTTCTCTACACTATTCCCTGGCCATTACGCCGGGCGCACCATTCACATTCACGTCATGTTACACCCCAATGCTCGGCCCTATCCCAATGGCACCATTATCGACACTACTGCTGCCTATGTAGGTCAGATGTATTTTGACCAAGACCTCATCTACTCTGTTGAAAACCTCCATCCATATGCGCAGAACCCCAACCCTCTGACACTGAATGATCAAGACTTCATTTTACGGCAAGATTTGTGGCAAGGTGGTAACCCATATATGCAATACAAGATGATAGGCAATCGCCTAGAAGATGGAATTCTGGCATGGCTAAGCTATGGTATCAATCCTGCAAAGCGCAGTCGCGTTACGCCAGTTGCAACGCGAAAGGGCAACCTACCGCGGGAGACGACAGACATGCAGAGGAATGAGATGTAGTGGGAAATCTTCCCTCCCGCTACTATATTGCCTTTCTGGTTATTGCACCAGTGGATTTCCTGCAGCTGACAAACAACTATGCGAACCGTTGTGTTTTATGAACTTGATAGCACTTGCGGGACGAGTCAGAGTTCCTTTTGCATTCTGAGACTTTTGTCACGGGCAGCAACACCAGCCATTATATTCTAAGTGGATGAATTTAAAACAGTGATGAGTTTACAAAAGGTGCGAGATTGACTATTCATTCCGCATATTTATTGCTAGTTGTACTGAAGATATATTGAACTCAACATACGGTGTTGCATGCCGGTGTTTCTTGTGCATGGTGGTTACACCGAGGTCACATGGCATAGCGGCACGGGCCGACGATTGAACTTGATGATAGTTATATAACAACTCAAAATCTCGTCGAGGCCTTAGGCTTAAACGCTTAAAGACTTACGGCTGCTTTATAAATGCTCTTATAAATAACCCCTTGTCGCAATCGTTGGCCAAGTGGCCACCGTGCTCAATATTCCGTAATATAAGACGTCACGTCAAGTGGGAAAACTATCTGTAAAACGTGTCAAGTCAATTAGCAAGAGAGCAGAGTACCTTTAAATTGAATAATTGACTTTAAGTCGCTAGAATAACTACAGAAACTGCACGTGTCCTCATTCGTCTTTTTGTTTTTGACCAACGTTCAGACATTGACCTCTTGATGGAGGATATATAGAAGACAACTGGAGCAAAATCGTTAATAATTCTTTGCTTATTATCTCATGCCATAGCAGTGACAAGTCTCTAATATAATAAAAGTGACTGCCGGGGAGGGCAAGGACTTCATCCAAAAGCTAGCTTACCTTTGAGGTTACAGTCCGACCTAGACTGGTATGCACTGGCAAGATACTTGACAGACTGCCGGATCAAGTTTGCTTCAATAGCATCTCTACGGGGGCCTACAATAGCCTTCATCTCGTTTAGGCCGGCCTCCGGATATATTTGCTTGACGACGAGTGCCCATGTATTGTCCCTCGAGCAATATTATACACATGCTTCATCTCTCAAGTTTCCTACAAAGACATGTCCAATGTGAATAGTGTCCAGCCTAAAGGCACGCTTTGAGCAGCAGGCATTCTCGTTATTCTAGGTTTCCATCACCTGCTGCTTGTGGCGCTATATTACTTCCCGTGGATTGCTCAGAATCAAGTTCGGCGCTGCCAATCCAGTTCGGAAGTAGGAAAGGTCCAGCTCCTCGTGCCGAAAATAATTATTAGGGCCAAGAGGGGAATATCTGACAGACTACTCTAGTTCCTTTGTAGGCTTCGGTTAAATTCGTGTTCGGATCAAAGATTAGTCTATAAGCCGGAGCCAACTTACTGGCTGCTCGACTCCGTGATAGCGTATATAAGCTTCTTTGGATCTATACAAGGCAAATTTGTCCTTAAAACCGCAGTAACTGAGTGTGATAGCGCAGAATTCATCGCAGAATAGGCGTTGTCTACTACGAAGACGCAGAATATACAGTCAAAGAGGGAGACCGCTTCTGCGATACGGAGTATTATGTTCGCTCTGTCTTTGAAATTGCCCAGAACAAGTTCTCTATGCCTTGAGATTCTTTAGTCACGTCTTAGAAGTCTAAAATCTTCACGGAGAAACAGCAGCTTACTCCCCTCTTCCAGAGCAGATACTCCTTAATAGCTTCAAAAAGCTTCTATGGAGCTGTACTCGCCAGTTCATGCAGGAGTCGTCCAAAAGCTGGTTGTGGCAACAATTATCCTCGTCTTTCCCCACTCCAAGGCAACCTGACCTTTACTGTATAGTTCCAGGAGGCCCCCCCCCCCGGGTAAGCACCAAAATATAAGTTACGATCGTATAGTGAATTTTCCAAAGGATATTGGGAAGGTGACATCTCTGTCAAGGTGGGAAAACTGTGAGACCACAATAATTCGTAGGCATTACGCACAGTTTCACCAATAATACCGCCGTTATAGTCGACCCAAACTAGTTTCATGCTGTGGGTGCTAGGGCCTTGCCGGTATAACGCTCCAAGTAGGTAACAAAAAAGGGCGAAGAAGAGCAACTGGAGGATAAGAAAATTAAGGGTGGCTACTTTAAAGAATTCGGGCCGAGTCGCTTTTAAGGACAGATGCGAAAAGGGTATTCTGTTATCCCGCGCACGAGGATAAAAGGTTTATGTATGGCGAATAACACAGATCAAAGAATACACCACAATTTTCTTTTCGTCCTTAAATTTAGGGCAATAAAATTCTTAGTACAATTCGGTTTGATTTGTTGTTGTTTTCTGAGCACCTGCGTTCTGCGCGTGTGTGCGTCCGGAAAGGGCTTTAAACATGCCAACGCGTAATCCCTAGCACTATAAGCCTTTATCAGCAAGAGTAAGCAATAAGAAAAAACCGGGACGCGGTACCGCTATGGGTCCTCGTGGCTGCAAGTTGCCACGAACCCATGGGAATAAGGAGCCTTAAGCAGAATTACACTAAGGGGCTATTTTTGCTTAGTTACACACACTTCACGGAGCTAAGTAGAGATCTAATCTGTTATTATTTTGAATTAACGTTGCCATTATCCCTTATATTTTACACATTTTATACCGGGCCCGGCGCCCAGGTCCCGGACCCAGCTCGTGCGGCGTAGTCCGTGATAGGGGCCTAAGTGGAACTTGAGTGCATGGGTGCTAGTGAACTTTATCGGCTCCGCTGTTTTACAACGCGCTTACAAATCTTTGTCAGGCGCTTAACAATTTTTATACAGAACTGGCAACCCAGGCGAATCTATAAGCGAAAACCAGAATGGCCTAGCTTGCGTAAAAAAGCCTACCATGGGGGTTACAGTAGGCGTCTCTATGTTGTACAGTTGGGGAATACAGAGGTTGCTGGGAAAAGCTATGTTGACAACTAATAACAGTCAATGGCCGAGGCCAGCAAGGCCTCGGAAATTTAGCTGAAGCCGGTGGACAACCGGAAAAAGCAAAAATAAGGATTCGGACAAAAGGAAGTTGTTGGAAGCGCAAGGCTTCTATCGGGTGATAATTCTCAAAGGCACAAACGGCTACGCGCTGGTGATCATGATGTTATTTCTTGCTTGTTGTTAGCTATCGCCACCACCGGTGGTGGTGACAGCAGCTAGATAAGTAGGCCTAAGTCAGGAGCTAGCCAGTCAGAAGCTAGCATCCCTGCTGGCTTCCTGGTACACAATAGTGGTTAAAGGGACAGAAAAATCTAGAGCAATAAAGGAGGAGAGAAAAAAAAGTCACGAATACACAGTAATTGTAACGGGTAGCACAACATCTCTCAATAACTCTAGATAATACAAATCTCAAAGCGCGACAACTGTCGTAGGGGGTCTGTTATTCGTCCACATAGCGTACACACCGCAATATAAGTTTGGGTCGCTTCAGATCGCCCAAGCCCGCCAAACCACCAAGCTCTATACGTATACGGTATTCGCATGGCACCTGACTGGGTAAATTAAAACAGGAGAACAAATTGTTGTGCAAAGGCCAGACCAACTGCAAGCCCTGGTTTTCTAGTACTCCACCTACTCCACGTCGTTGGGTCTCGCCCACGCGTTGCACAACTCAGCTCTTCAAAGCCCCTTCGACATTTATCGTCGAATTCGGCCGGTGTATTATACATAGAGTGTTGGATAACCGGTCTTGTCTCGTCCAGTCGCGGACTGGACCAGCTTGAACACCTGTCTCCGGCCCCACACCCGAGCCGCACCGTAACTATAGCCCGAATCTCGCCTGAGCTGCGGTGGGGCCTGGCACGAGACACTTGACAGAACCAATGGAGAACATAATACCCTGCAATTAGAGGAGCAGTAAGGTGTCAAGGGACGGTGTACAGCATTCTTAGGAAGGCAAACCAAGCATTCCACCAAGTTGCCAAGTCTACTGAATCAAGGAACGGGGCCGCGGAGATGCAAAGCACAAAACCCTAGCAGGCCCTGGCTGTAAGACAGATAGAAGCCCACTCTGAATCGGCCAACTCCCTCCAATTATATCGTTCCCGCCCCTTCGATTACTCCCCGCCAGGCATATCCCACTTGCTCGGTTTCTTCCGGAGTCCATGCATGAACGTTAAAGTGGCACTGACGTGCCTGTAAAGACCTAACGCTCGGGTTCTCGGTGTGAGCTGAACCGAAGAGTGGGTAGTTGCCTCAAGCCACTCTTGGCCTCTCGCTCGAGTGGGCTGTCCACACTCCTAAAGGTAGGGACAGGGTGCAGGCGTGTTATTAGAAATATGATAGCACTATAGTATTACTGAGAGAATTCTATTGTATATTTAAAAGATTATTGTTTAGTTTAAGGTTCTGTTGAGGTAATTTACCGAACGGTAATTTACCTATCTGGCGAAGGTTTTTGACGTCAGAAACTTCTAGGTATTTCTTAGATTCTCAGTAACTACAAAATACAAAGGCTGGCCAACCACCTGAAGGGAGTAAAGATAAAAAGACCTTAATACTTCAAGTTAAACAAGAAAAGGACAGATAATAATACATCACAACATTTTATCTCCATAATAGTGCCACCGAATTTCTGACAGTATTTTACATGTCAAAAACCCTTATTGGCTGATATCAACGGAATATAAGGCGGCATAATTGTTCAGAAAGAGAGCGCGCTCTTTTTGTTGACAGCTATCGACAGGGGCGAGGTCGCAGCCGAGTTATTCTCGGGCATAATCTATTACCATAAAGTAGAGTCATGCTCGACCCATGTTCTTGATTGTCACGCTTACATGTTGCTAGGGCATGCATGCCTGCACTTAATAAATAAACACGCTAGTGTAACAAATTTTCAGATGAAGTAAGCACGTCCCTCTCTATTGGTCTCTGAGCTAAAGTAATAAAAACCTATAAAAAGGAGGAAGAGACCGTTTACTCTTTGGCGTTATTATCTTGGTTTGTATCAAAATATAATCTTTTATATCTCTACTATTATATTTTTCAATTATACATTAGCATCATGAAGACCTTTACTTTATTCACTCTCGTTGTTGGGATCGTTACTGCCATGTCAAGAGACGAAATGTTATGTGTCGATAAGCTTGAGGATAGGACGGAAAATCCTGCCGGGAGAAACGTGTTCGACCTCTCAGGGCACATGCTATCAACTGTTCAAGATCTACAGAAAGCTGTCGCTTATATTTCTGACGAGGGAAAGAAAGCGCAACTGGAAAGGATTGGTGATGAGTTGTTCTATCTAGGCTCGCAGATAAATGGCATAGCTGGTGGGGATGTAAGTTTACCTGCTTTTTCAACCCGTGACTTTACACGGTGCTAATAATCGCAACCAGATGCTTATGTACTCGAAACCAATGGGTACATGTCTCAATTCGACTGTTTAACTCATCTTTCCTGGGGTATGAGTACGCAGAATCGGCCAGCAGTGTTTGACAATATGTCAATACAACATGGCTTACGGCTCTGATGTGGGACAGTTTCATGCAACATGTTAGATGCCTGGTTCTTGGCGTCATGTAGCCAATACAGCCAAGTTTTGTCAGTGCGAGGTGTTTCCGGTCTTGGGGTTGCAAGGTACCGTGGCGGTGGCAATTGACTGAATTGGAGGGCACTAGGGCAACATTTGAAGTTTTCTTTCTGGAAATGGGTCGATGGTTGAAGGCAGACTTGCAAATAAACCAATCAAATCAAATCCGAGCTTCAATTTGATTTGATTCAAGTATACTAGAAACGGATTTGATTTGGTTCGATTTAGCATCCATCCCAATTTTATTTCACTGACTTTATTTGGATACTTACATGGCCCCCAGCCTCTTCTCTCTCTGTTAACGTGATGCGAGTCATGTACCAGACATAACACGTGAAAGAGTTGCTGCCTAGTAGCACGGCCAGTACTACTAGGTATATCAGATTTCACGATATCCCACTTAATTACTGCCGGGGTTAGGGCCGTTATTGAGGTAAAATATTAATAATTATATTTATTATTGCTTATATCTTTTGTATGTTCTCGCTGAGCAGGGGAGACAAAATCTCGCAGCGACACCCGGGGCTTTTCACAAACATATCTTTGTACCAACCTTCTCATATAGCGTGGATCCATCGTGCACAATCACCGATCGCACTTCCTCTCCCTCCCTCCGTGCCCCACGACCCGTTTGCTGCACAAAGTCTACGAGCCCATACGGAAGTTCTGCGTGTATCACGGCCACGACCCCCCCAATATCGATGCCGGTTCCCAGCCCTGTGGTTGCCACTATCCAACGATGCCCGCCACCTGCCGCCCATAATTCACGCGCCGAGTCCTATGCCGCCTTAGCCATATCGCTGTGGTGCGCGTCGCACCCAATCTCTGCAGCCAGCGCTGTGCATTGCGTTCTCGATCGGCAAAAATACAACACCTTTCTGCCCGCTCATCATCGTCGATAAGATTTACCGGACTAGTTCCACCACCCGGCTTTATACCGCTCCCGCCCCGGGCTTGACCTGCTCCAGCTCATATCGGCAGTTGAGCTTCGTTGCCCGGTCCCGGATGATCTCGGCCGAATTAGCCAGCAGCTCTTCACGGAACCACCGCTCGAATGTTACTGGCATCGTTGCCGTGAGCAGCATGATCGGCCTTTCGAATCGGGTCATTCCCTTTAACTGCGTAAGCTTCGCTCGGTACAACGCATCCGTGATCGCCATGTCCGCCTCGTCGATAAATATGCGCTGTAGTAATCCAGCGTCCCCTAAGCCCTCGATGTATCCTAGCAAGCTTAGCACTAACGCCGTGTCTGCGCTGACGACTACATATGTACCATCCGCGCCGCCCGTGGTAAGCATTCTCGTTCGGAATTGACTAACGGCTGGAACTCGATCACGTCCACCCCATGTCTGTCTTTAGCGCCGTAAATGGCACGATAACCACGTTCGTGCCGCCCCCGCGCATAATGGCTAGCACTATAAACAGTAAGCTCTTGCCAGCACCCGTCGGCAGCACGCATCATGTATCGCTGACTGATCTCCGTCAAGTACCAGAATCTTCTCCATGCATTCTCGCTGCTTGCCTGGCCGCCATGTGGATGCTGGGCCCATCAGCAACCGCAGTCCGTCGACCATGTATCGTTCATTTTCCTCCTTGTCTGCCCGGCCTGTCTTGCTCCTCTTGCATGCTCCTGCCATTTCGCCGCCCGCTGCCTTGCGTTTCCAACCCGCTCGGGCTTCGCCCCCTTCCATCAAAAATTGGTGCCATAGACGGCTAATTCCCCGGTAGTTCTCCATCATCTCCGGCGTTAACCCGTTTGGCATGCCAATATGTACGGCATAGTGTAGCCGCGCCATCTTCGTGCTATGCGTGCTCTGGAGATGCCATACGATGTTCCAGCTGCCTCTGATATGAAGTCTGGTGCTTCGCCAGTCATCTGGTCCATCTCCAGCCCCTCATCGTCATCGTCATCACCGGCCATGCCATCGATCTGTCTTATAACCAGTCCTCAAATCCTCCGCCCGAATTCAATCGCCATCACCCGGTATCGCCCAACGCCGACCCTTATCTTGATTTCTGCCTGCAGCATGCCTGTTATAATCGAGCTGAGCCGTTCCGTGCCCCAGTATTTCGAGTTGCCGTTCCTCTGCAATAACTCTAAGCAATCCTCCCGCGGTTCCGGTAGCTTGCACTTGCGCCGTAATATCCTCTCTGCTGGCAAGAGCCAAGCAATATTAGCGACCATCATTCGTCCGATATGGTCAGGTAGAAATCTTGCCACCACACGGCCGGTCCCGCGGATCGCCTTCATTTTGTCACGGTCACAGACCGTGCCTTGGAGATTCATCGAAAAAAGCTCGGACCACGTAGCCCATGTCCCACCCAATTTTTACGATTGAACTCCTTCTAATGACGATTAGGGCCAGCATCAACTGGCCGCCGTCAGTTTTTGTCACCATTTGTGATTGCGAGACTTGTTGTTGCTTGAATCAGTGTTGCCATCCTGGCTGGTTTGGTGCACTAGGTAGTGAAGTACGTTACCGTATACAGTGCAGTGTAGCAATTTCCTACATATAAACAATCCAGTGCAGTGCGGGACTGAAAAAATATCGTACACGGTATTTTGCACTATTTACTTCACTGCCCGACAGCACACAGCGACATACACAGGGACACATACGACGACACACTGTGAAACACGAGGCTATCAGAACATTGAGCTACTTGAATCAATTTGATTATTATATTTACAATTTAATAGAAGTAAGTTCAGTCACAACAATATGTAACCAATTGCCACCGCCACGAGACCTTCCAAAGTCGCGACCCATGACCGCGCCTCGCGGGGTGCAGGGAATATGTTTCAACATGCTGTGAGAGTGATTTGAACTAGGCTCAAGCTGGCTATAATTAATTGAGTAGGCCTAGTCCCACACAGGCTTGCAATTGTCTTGTCCATAACAGAGCTGGGTGGGTTTTGCTGCCTTGGTTTTTTCTGTCTTGGGTTCTTCCGTCTTTTCTTCTGTCAACGCCTTCAATGCTTCGACCACCTGTTGATGGGTCTCAAAATCACGATACTGGGACGTGTCAACGGCGGCCAATTCCCTGTTTGCGCTACACGATATGACAAGTTTCCCGTCGATCTCGACTTTGTTGAATTGCTCGTCGGGGAGAAACCAGCAGGACTTAAGCAAGTCAGACCCGGCTATGTTCACGGACCCCGATGGTAGCTCGAATTTCCCGCCTTTGCAGTACATGTACCCCATATCATCATCGTAAGCGACGTAAGCATCAGGCATAAAGCATGCTTCACCCTGGTCGGTGTAGTAGACGTCATCCGCACGGCAGTTGCTGGCACAAAACGAATGGGTGGAGTTGTATCTCAGGCCGGCTGTGTGGTAACCGACCATGCCTGACACGAGTGCAGGTAATGCCAGAATAGGCCACATGAGTGTAAGGGATACGGATTTGGCCGACATTTTAGACTGGTTTGGCTGAAATAGAGTGACGATTAAAATATTTTAATTAGAAATCTCAGAGAAGACAGTTCTTATCAGGACAATAGGTATCGGAGAAGGCAGGAAAAGGTGCGCCTTATATAGACCGTTCGACAGTTCTTTTTACGCTTCAACTCCACCACACGACTGCTTGTGTCCTTTCTTCTTCTCCAAGTTGCCAAGGCCATTCACACGGGGCCGCGGAGATGTAAAGCATAATATAAAACGCCCCGAATCGGTACGTGGGCACGCGGAATCCGAGTGGACATGGAGAGCACCTTGCCAGGGTATTTTTAATATTCAATGTTGGAGTGACTGGCACTGCCATGCATGTGCTGGCTGCTGAAACCCTGGCAGCCCAGCCACAGGGCGAGAGTGCATCGGCCTATTGTTCCGGGGTCATGACGCATGAGCTCGTACCATGGCCCGACACAGCAACTGGGCACACGATCAACCCCTGGGTATAAGAATGCGACCATTGCTCTTTCCTAATTATGGCTAGCTTATTAACCCTAACCTTAACCTATTTTCCCCCACATTCTAAGGGATCCTGGCTATCCCAGGCACAGGCACGTGGAGAACCGGATATTACGGGGTGATGCTTCGGTGTGAGCTGAACCGAAGACCAGGCCAACTGAGTTATTCTGGGGCAGACCTTCAACAGTGGGGATAATAGGCAGACTGGTGTGTTTAGATAATAGCTTACAACATGTTATGTAACTCAAGCGCACACAAATTCTGTTAGCCATAATTTATGCCAGGTGGCCATCAAGGTTAGGGAACTGTGGCATCCAACAAGAGCCTGCGTGTCCGCCGATTGTCACGGTCCAAGAGTACCAACGAGAAGCCCTGACTCAGGCTAAAGTAGGGCCGTTCCCTGACATGTGGCATACGAGACAAGACCTATTATGTTCTTGGCTGTGCGCATGAGGAGAGATGATCGGGACTCTTATTTCGATATTCATTTGCGACACACTCATTTGAGCGGGTAGTCGACGGCCAATTAGATTTACCCCGGAGGAAATTGTTATTAGGTTAGTGTCAGAGATACAATGGCACTAAAAATGACTTTAGTAACATTGAATGCTGCTGCCCAACGGACAGCAGTATTGCTACCCAAGCGTCAGATGCAAGCTGTGCACAGTGCGTTGTATCAACCTGCAACTCCACAATCTGACAGGTAGCAATACTGGAAGTCGTAATACTGCTGCCTACTGCAAGTGGCAAGTTGCCACCTAGGCAGTGATGCTTGCGTGTTCTTGACAGAGCACCCTTATAATTCAATGAATAAGCGACCTGATCTTGACATCACCTCAAATTTCTACCTTGCATGACCACATAGGGACTAGTTAATTGAATCAACTCGCTAGAGACCTTCACACCCGGCGCTCTTCCTCGATTTATCCCGACACCCTTGCGGCCAAGATTATGCGAGGCAACTCGAATCCACAGGTCAGTTCATTTCTATATTAAAGACTAAATAACAACGGTGCCTCTAAGGGTCAGCAGACTAAATATATAGCCGAAGATGATAACAGCTGGAGACCACTCTCAGCCGATACTCGTGCTATAATAGCACCTAGACATAAGCAGAAAAAATTGTACTTCACCAGAGTGGCAAGTGGCAACAGTCTTCCGAAAGTAGTAAAAGATCTTGAGTTTATAGAGCTTAGGAGGGAAGATAATGAAAAACAAGAATAATAATTTTGTGAAGAAGCTTAGTTAACTAGACGAATGGTAAAATTGTGCAGCTCTCCATACACGAAAAACGTGTTGCCACACGAGTATGCTGTTGTCCACAGGGTTACAGCTAATTTTGAGGCTCAGGGAAATCATCTTCTGGCGCTGGATCTGTTTCATCAAATGACCACATGAGATATAGTGGGGACATGTCAAAGCCCTCGTTTATATTAGATGTTGCGTCCACAAAGCCATGAGCTTTGTCGTAGTTGATAATTCCACTTCCTCGACTCAAGGCCAATCGTCGGATTTTCCTTTCCGATGAAGTCACGCACCTAAAATACCGAGCCGTATATTTCCCGTCTTTGCTTAAAAATTTGACTGCATCGGCATAGTCGATTCTAGTTTGTTCCACAGTAATAGTGGTGCAAGCTTTCTTGGGATTCGAAGTATAGGTCGGAACAAGCCAAACGGACCTATTTGGGATACTCAGTCATGGTATGAAATTGGTTAGGGACCAGCCGTAACCTACCCTCCCGTAAAGCCATAATTAATATTCCCGAGACTATTCGCCGGCCCTGTAGCACCGCGTTCCACCTACTATGCCTTAGCTACAAGTGCATGTATTGTGAGAAAATATCCTTACCTTCACTCCAGATATGTAACGGTTACCGTTTGCATAGGAGTCGGCCCTGGGGGATTCATTTGTAAACGAGTTGGAGATATACGGAGCGTACTTTTTGAAGAAATCATCCCTAAGCGTTTTGATGAGATCCCTTCCTGTACTTTGAGAATTCTCCGGGTTCTCGGCGACAGAGTCAACCTAGCATCACATTAGCATCCCATTTCGTTACTTTCACTTTTCATAGTGTGAGGAGGTACCCAATCCTGGCTTTGTTTCACCATGTCGATTTCGTCGAACTCGACATTCATCTTGATCTCGTCATCAATGGTTGTGACTATTTCCCAAGTGGGTCAACGACTTGAACCCATCTTCAGTTTTGCAGCATCAGGCATCTTACGATTTAGTAGATACTGTTTCATTTCGGAGATTCGGACGAGCTGCTTCAAAACCATAGAAGACTAAATATCGTGTTAGTTTGCATGCCACATCTACGACGCAGACAAATTGTGTGCGGCGACATACAACTCTGTGAGCCGTGCGGTAGTCGAGGATCTTTTGATGCTCAGGGAAGCCCTCGGCATTCCTGTATTCTTCGAGAAGGGGCCTATTGAACCTGTTACCACCCACACCTTGGCGGCGGGTCGTTGCTCTTACTGGTACTCGTAATCGTGTCGGCAGGCATTATCCATAAACTGGTCAGCCCATGATTTAACTTGATGAAACGCCCCATCCGCAGAAGTCGCCGTAATTTTATCAGGTGACCCTGATTGGCCCATAACTCTACCTAAATCCCCTTGGTAAAACAGCGATATTTCCACGTTGGCATGCTTGCTCACTTCTTCTTGGCTCTTCTTCACGGATGCGCTGATATCTGCTGTGACCCCCCAGAACTTTAACGAAGCTTCGATGCTAAAGATAGAAGCATTAGTTAGGGCTACACAGCTTTGTGACCGAGGGTGGTGAGATTTACTGAGCTTTCAGATCCACCTTGCTAACGGTTCCTTTCGATCTAAACGTCAACCTGGCAATCATCTTGCCGCCCGTATGGAAACCTTTCAGTGCCTATTTAGCTTTTACCCAATTTAAATATTAAAGCCTCGGAAGAGATTTACCGCGGATCCATCGGTCACCAAAATTGCGGGCAAATGTTGTTGTGGTGTACTTGTTCATATTGAACTGAAATCCGGCAGGCGAATCCAGCTGCCTCCGAATATCGATTTTGGCTACATATGTCAAGGCATTGCTGGAGAACTACGATAATTGTTAATCAAGTCAAGCGATTTTACTATTAGGTTGGAAATGACAGTCTTACCTCTGCCTGATTTAGGTAACTACCTGAGACAGATGCGCTTTGGCCCCAGCCGGATACAGTTGCAGCGACACTAATATCGAGAGCCTTCAAATAGGAACTGAAATGCATTCTATCAGCTGAAAACGCCTCACACGCTCCATCGATTTTTCCCTATGAACTTACTTGTAGTCCTCGGCAAGCTCGGACGAGAACTTCAAAGCCCCGGTGCAGTCCGGTCGGTCGGCAGCCCGGGTGAATAGTACTTTTGATGCAGACACGTCTTGTTCATCATTTTCCAAGTCGGCGAGGATGTCTTCCATAATTGCATCTAGGTCAGGTGGGTAGAAATATGATTCTACATCTACGCCGGCAAAGTCTGCGCTAGGTTCCGTGAAATTGAAGTTCATAGTAGTTTGGCTCACCAACTCTTCTGCAGATCTCGCGGGTATATCCCTCCTCTTCTCCCCCTCGTGCAGAATGACAGCGTCAAGGATCAGTCCTTTCTCCAGAAACGAGTTATACCTAAACCTGAGTTAGAACGGCCATTGTGTCTTTAACAAGAGCGGATCAGACGCAATTACCCTTGTCCCTTAGACAAGAGGCTATGACCCTTGTTTTTCTTTCTGGTACCGCCTTCAGGCAACATGTCGCCGTCCGTATTTTCATCCCGTCTGGTGGGCTCGAGAATGATAACTTGATCCTCCTCTACAAAATCAACCTTCATACACATTAGCATCCAATATACGACTCCACAGCAATATTCATAACGGAGAATAAGGCACTCAAGTCTTACATGCTTGTGTTCTTTGATGCTCTTGAGCACGTCACGTGAGAAACTGCCCGCGTAGCCGTGGAATCCATAAGCGCCCCCGTGATAGGTGTGTTTTACACCATTTTCTTGGTTCTCGTTGTCATTACTGGTATCCAGGCTGCGCTTGTGGATGGATTTAACCCAATCAAGATGTTCGTTAAGATGCCCGTCGTTCAACCCTTCTTTGAGGACCACGATGTGGCTGTACGAAGTTAGCATTGGTAATAGGACTGCTTAAAACAATTTTCGTAAGATGGACTAATGTCCTTACCCCAGTGCTTGGGAACTGCCGTCTCCGGAAGTCTGTTGGGCTGTTGTCCTTTGAAGTAGAGCAAACACAAGGACAAGAAACCCGTGCATATTTATAGTGACGTTTCAGCGAGGTACGCCGCGATGCCAAACTAACCTCAGGTTGATGATATTAGTCAATAAATGAAAGAACAAGCGCCGCTAAGATGGACTGGGGGACCGGAAGTGAGTTTTATAGACCATACAACTAATAAGGCAGAACTCCATATCAAATGGATAATCCTAGTTGACTTAGCCCCATGTTGACCCGCAAACGATGTAGTCTCTTACGACCTGGTGCAATATTAAACATGACCTATGTATAACCCTTGCGTAAATTGCAGGTTTATTTCACAAATCACATGGATGTACTATGGGCCGTGATTATTGCGGCATTATTATCATCTACCAGAACGTATCTCATGCCACTAGGAACTTCTTTCGTTGCTTGGACTTCCGAGTAGCGTATTAACCATCTATACTATGCGGACAATATGCTTTATACACTAGAGTTGTGTGAAAAAGTCCTTTCGGCAGAAAAGTCGACACTAGCTATTGGGCTTTCGATTGAGAGGCTTATATTAGAGCTCCTAATAAACCCTAACTTATATTTTATCAGCGTAACTATATTTGGACTTAGTAAGGGTGCAAACCTCCTAGGTTAGCATGCTTAATAATTACTATCTTGCTACGTAATTCCTTGTATTTAGGTGAAAACATATAGCAACGCGTGGCAGTTGGGGATATATGCTGAACAACTCAGCGGGTCCTTGTCGCCTGACCAGCAAAAGGTGGCCCCCAGTTAACGCGTTCTATTGCCCACAGTCTGTGGCCGCTACTAGCTGAAGTCAGCTCACTTTTGAAAATCACGTCATAACTATGCCTTATGAAACGTTTACCCACCACTTTCCTTCCCTACGTATTACCTAGGATTGCATTTTTCTCCATACATGCAGCCTTCCCTATCCTTCCTCCTACACGTCCATCTACTCGCGAACACGAATCCTTCTGCTGCCCTTTTTTGGCAACGCCTTCCTTATTAGGCAGTCGCCACCTTCAATACTTATCCACATCTTAAGGCGCAGCCGAAAAGAGACGAGACTCCACGAGGCTACGGTCAACTGATTAAGGGTTTGCTCTATAATATACTTCAAAGCAGCAATTAACGTATACCTAAATTAACAAATGTTATCTTTTTTATTCCATAATTTACCTTGCAGCAGCGCGTTATGACTCCACTCTATGAGCTGTGCGTCGGCTGCGGGATAGGTCGTCGCATGTCTTATACCGCGGCAATAGGCACCGCGTAATATATATAATTTAGAGAGCAAAGAAGTAAAATGCTCTCATGTATAAATACCCTCAAATACTTCCCCTACGCGATCATTGCAGCGATCCAAGGATCTTTATTCAATTGACTGCATTGGTCACTCGGTAACTGCCACGTTATGAGACTCATTATTAACTAAGCTCCTTTATAAAATTATTGCTCTCCATGTTCTTCGTGCTGCAAACAGAGTGTGCAGCTATCTTCTAAATACCAAAAACTTCCTTTCGTCCTAGCCCTTACCCCTCAGAATAGCGTTTTTCTGCTATCTTTGTCTATTCATAGCAGTTATAATAACAATTAGTAATTACACTAAGTTATTACTTATTTAATTAATAAAGAAAACCTTAGTTATAAATTTAGGGGTATCTAATTGTTGTTGTTCTAAGCCCTACTATTGCTGACCGGGCACAGTTATTACTCGCACGATGCAATCTGACACATTCCTTCGCTCCTTATCGCTTCGTCCAGGCGATCGTGTCCAAAGTGAAGTAAAATCCGTATCCAAATCCGTGGTTTATCTTTCCCTTTGCTCTCAAGTACCATGTAATCCCTCTTCACAATATCGTTCTTAGAATTACTTCTGGCACGTAGCTGATACCTTGGTTTCGACTGATAGGATAACTGAATAGCCGTCCTCGCTTAGCTTTCCTGTGCTCTCTGTGTTGCCCTCTGTCTGCGTCGCTCTTTGTCTGCTGCTCGATATTTCTGATTCCCTTAATTTCTTCGTTGATGCCTGCTTTGAAGTGTGACGTGATTATTCCACGCTCTCCTATTACGACGCGGTTGCCGCGCGCCAACCCCACATCACCTGTCCAAATCCGATAAACCTTGCTTGCTTCTCTGCCTTAGCCCCGGAAGTGAACGCATCCAGATGCCTAGACAATACCGCGTGGAGGTAGCAGAGTTCGTCTTCGTCTCCTCGCTATGTGGCCACACTTGCCTATCCCTTCCTTTTTGTTGCCGCCAAGACCTTCTCGGGGAAGATTACTTAATATAATTTATACCGGATACATGCAGGGTGTCTCGCCAAGTGTACTACTTAATAAACATATATTAAGCCTCTATACATGCAAAAGTAGCATTATGCATAATCGTATGATATGTTTATTGAGAAACGCTAGTGTATAATAAGCTGGATACCTCAAAAATCTATACAAATTGTAATAGGCTGAGCCGTTGACGTGTGCTCGGCTGAAGCCGAGGGGTTATTTAATATAATTATTGTTATTGTAGACGAACAAATGCCTAATGTCTTGTCAAGGACGCTATTAAGCGAACATGGATTAATCTTCATGCATACAGAAGATGCCTTTGGGATAATCGTACGATGTGTGTGAAGTGTATATTTTATTAATAACCCCTGCTAGCAGTGCACAGTTACTACGAAGTGGATTGATTAAAAGTTTTTTGGCAAAATAGGAGAAAAGGCTCTGTCCTTTTACAAGAAGATCTCTTACAAGAACAACCACCCCGCCCATGTAGTGCCGTGAAAGCGGCTGGATTGATAGTAAAAAGCCAACTGTAAATCCACAATTACTGTCTACAATTATCGTTTACGGACACTATACTTCTAGAATGAAAACTTTAAAGACCCTCGCTGTCCTTTGCGGGTTAGCTTCTGCTAGTCCGACACCAATGCCTCAGGTAACAGCTCAGGACAACCCACCTTGGAACCTCCGAGCTATTTCTCACCGGTCTCCCCAAAGATGGCCGACTGCCCTTCGCAAATCCAAATATTACTACAATATCTGGAGCGACTCTAAGACGTATTATGCATACGTTCTTGACTCGGGTATTCGAATCACACATGGAGAGTTTGAGGGCCGTGCCGGAAACCTCTGGACTGCCTTCAAGGACGCTGGTAACCAGCCCAATTACGAGGACGAAAGTGGTCACGGCACCCACGTTGCCGGAATTATTGCCTCCAAGACCTATGGAGTGTCTAAAAGTGCTCAAGTGCTCTCTGTTAGAGTGTTTGACTCTGCCGGATCAGCGCCCATGTCTCAAATTTTGGCGGGATATAACAAAGCCGTGAATGACATTATTGATAAAGGCCGATACAGTCATGCCGTCATTAACTATTCTGGTAGTAAATCGCGGGCACTCTACTCTGCAATTGATAGAGCTTATCGTTCACCTCGTGGATATATTCTAACTATTACAACCGCCGGCAACGATAATCAGAAAGCTACTGGACAGCCAACGGGCTTCGTCACAAACGCTATAGTTGTCGGAGCTATTGAACCAGATTGGAGCATTGCCCCGTTTTCCAACTTCGGATACACAGTTAATATTTTTGCCCCGGGAAGCAAAATCGTCTCTCTTTCACACAAAAGCAATACTGCTACTATGACAATGTCAGGCACCTCAATGGCTGCACCTCATGTTGCCGCACTGGCTTTGAATGCCATGGCAATTTACAACAAACACCCCTCTGCCATTCGCTCCTTCCTTAAAGACACTGCCACAAAGGATCGAGTTACGGGTAACCTTCATGGCTCCCCAAACCTGCTTGCGAATAACAATAATGACCAGCAGAAGTCAGCTTAAGCCGAAGGATAATGCTTATTAACAGGTTCAGAAAAGCGAGTCAAAAATTGGGGACATGGGATACGGCCTTCTACATGCCTTGGCTTAATGGATGGCAATGACCGAATTACGCGGTATCGAATCTGTTGACTTGGTGCGAGTCATGTGCCAAGACATTTTTGGGCAGATGAGCCACTAGGCACACATGTATAAACTGTCAGCTAGAATTGAATAGACGCAAGTTCAATCCAAACAGAACCAATCGGCTAAGAACGCTACGTTTTTGGCCGTGTTGGATAGAGCTGCTTCAGTTGTTGAACATGCAGTCAATGAAAACGAAAGGGAGACTGGGCAGTTGTCGATGTTACAGTTCAAGTTACATTATTAAGTAGAAGTAAGTCAATAAATGTGGTTCAATAAGTTGTTCTACCTTAGCTTCCAGTCTTTCGGTTCGGCGATTGATTCTGAGTCGTTCGCCGTCGGCACCCAGTGTTATTGCTGTCTATATATATATATATATATATGCATATGCATTATAATCCACAGTTCTTTCCCTGAATGTACAAAAACAAGAGTTTAGTGTTATCGGATAGAGCTGTTGACCTAGGTAGCCTTGAGGCTGAAAGATGAAAGGCTCCTCTGGGCGCGCAAAGAAACGGTGTCGCATATCAGGCCTATCCTAATCGTACCTCATGAAAAAGTGAGACATTGTAGCAGGAACTTGTCACGTTATGAGACTTATTATTAGCTAAGCTTCTTGACAAAAATTATTATTCTTGTTCTTCTCACTGCTGCAGACTATGTCTGCAGCCATCTTCCAAATAGCAAGAAACTTCCTTTTATCCGAATCAAACTTTCGGCTAAGTTTAGTCGCGATAGCCGATAATATAACCTCCAGCAATTACACCAAGCTCTACGACTTCAGTCCAGAGAGGCATCATCCGACAGCACGCCTTTTCCACGACAACTTATATGCGGCTGCCAAAGGAGTAGAAATGCAGTATGCTAGGCCAGATTAACAAAAGAATGCTCTAGCAGCACACTCGAAAATCTTTGAATCTTAAATTTGAAGTTTTCGTTGAAGTTTTCGGGGCCAACGCGAAGAAGCCCAACAAGACTTACGAAGGTATGTAAGGGTGGCAAACCTTATGAACAAATGGCAGTTACGATCCACGGTGGGGAAATTCCCGTAAAGGTTTTGCGCAATTTCTTTCTTGCAGGGGGTAAAGCATGTCTGCATTGAATTGTCCAAAGATATCTGCCCACAATGCATAGCCAAACAACCGCTTACTAACTGCAAACTCGAATATAGGCAGGGGTATTAGTGTGATACACCCGAGAGCCTCAAAACCAAGGAGCATACTCCGTAAACCGAAGGAAGCGCGATATTCTGAAACAACATGTCGGCTCTCCCGGACAGCATCTATAGTGCTGCAGCTCCTGGCTCTGTATCGCCTCGATTTTCTAAACCATACTTGGGCGACAGTACGGTTTGCTTTCAGAATAGCATCGACTTCACCAGCGTTTTCTCCATTATTACAGGACGACCGTCGAGGTTTGCTCTGGATAGCGGCTATTCTAAGTCTGATTTTCGTCGTCTTGACATTCAGTGCGCGTCTGTATGTTCGAAGACATATGCTAGGCCGGGATGACTACGCTGGTATTGCGGCTGTTATTCTTAGTACCGCACAGTACATTACAGTCTTTACTGGAATGACTCTTGGCTTAGGAACATCCAAAAAGTTGGTGAGAGGAGCATACCAGTCTAAATCCGGTCAAGTATGCTACACAATAACTGAGAGCCTTCAGAGTCAAATTGTAACAGACTATCTATTGCACAGCTTTTTCTCGTTTCAGAAGGCCTGTTTATCTGCTCCTTCTATACAGCAAAGCTTGCTGTACTCCTAACTACGGAGCGACTAGTAGCAGCGAAAATGGAAACGGTCCGGAAAATTTGCATGATGCGTATCACGATCGGGATAGCCGCCCTAGCTTCACTTCTCACATTTAGTGTCGGCTGCTCTCTCGACAATCTTCAGGTCGAGAGCCACAGGCGTTGCAGCGGCCAGGTTGGTTGTCTGTCTAAGCCGCTTATCGCATGTATGTGCTGGCTAACTCGATCTCATAGGTATGGCGTTGGATAGCGATAAGATTATGGACGGTATCACGGAACTCTGCATACTATGCACATTCTGTTCCATTACTTGGTCTTTGCAAATGCAAAAAAGGCTTAGAGTAACGCTAACCCTTCTGCTTGGATTGAGAATTATGTGAGTACAGCGGTGTGTATAGAAGCAAGACAGAGACGCTGATGTACAAGTATTACAGCTGCCCAGCTTTCACGGCAATATATACCTCAGCATTGTCATCATTCGCTTCAAGCTCCAACCCTGCATTGCACGTTATCTCACCTCTGGTTTGGCAGCAAGTTATCCTAGGCTACTCCATCATGACTGCTCTTGCGATTACTTTAATGCCGTTTCTCAAGAGCTTTCACACTGGCATAGGCATCGATGTGCGCAATTTGACCATCTGCTCGAGCAGATCTGGAGGACAGAGGGACCGACAACACAGCTATCGGCTTCGGAATCTGGTACATAGCAACACGCAGGGTAATCACACCGTGCCATTCCCAGCTGAAGATGAACAAAGCCTAGCACCCACCCTTTTTTTCAGTGCTCCATCCCATGTTAGTTCTAAGAGCAAGATCGAGTCAAGGACAACAGGCCGTACTATAGCCGATGCAAAAGTTATCCAAAAGACCGTTGACTGGTCTGTACATTATGATGATAATAACAATACGTAAGCCTTTCTTTGGACTACAGTGTATGTGTTTCAGGGGTTGCGCTTGGATCCTTTCGGGTGACGTTTTTATGACAGAGGTTACATAGATAGGTTTGCAACACTGTGTCGTCACGTTATGAGACGCATTCTTGATCAAGCTTCTGTCTGAAAATTGCTTATTGTTTTCTTTTTCTCTATCCTTAGAAGGGTTCATGTTATTTGTCTTTAGAAGTCTTCCCAGCCACCCTCTCAAACTACTGATATCAATGATTTTATGACATCCAGAAACTTCGTCAAGTCTGCTTGTTCAACGAACTGAAGCAACGTTATCCGGCAGCCACCCGGGAGCTCTGATGCTGCAGCTACTGCGACGAAAACAAGCACGCTAACGAAGGAGCCCGCTTCAACTGTCCTCCCTGTCAACAACATTAATATGCCTCGTCTTTTCGCTCCTCAAGGTTATTCCTTCTGTGCCCTAATAGAAACGGACTGCATACCGCCCGAAGCCCTTCCGGCCACGACAATTGAGCTCCTGCTAGCTGAGCCAGGGACGACATCTTGTGGGCGGTATCCTTAGTCCACTCATTGATTAGATCTATAAGCCAAATCGCTTCTACCAGATTATGCGCTCCTCGCTGCTTTCCCGTCTCCTTGCCAATATGTCTTTCATTAAGCACATAGTGCAAGTAACCATAACGATCGATTTGATCGTCGATCGGCGTATGCGGTAAGATGTCCCGGGTAGGGCCATCGCTATCGCAGCGAAGTCGCTGATACGGACCAAAAAAAATATGTGGGAAACCTGTCGGAATCACGCCTCTGGCATCGACAGCAAATTGGTTTGAGACATTTGCAATAATTCTAATTAGAATGGGACTTGATAAAAAGGGGTTGCTTGTAATACTTGGTATTGCATATAATATCTCTGTTCTGTTTTGCGACAACGAATAATGGATTGTTCAATTCAAATAGACTCCTTTGACGACGACACGGATGACATTTCCTCGGCACCGCCACCTTCCGACCCGTCGAACAATTCAACCTCCAGTGCTCATGACCCCAGCGGATTCCCGGACTATCAAACATGGACGACAGAAAGATTCAAGCGATTTCCAAACTTCATAATATGCCATGACCCTTCTCGAGAACAAACATGGTGGTGGAAATATGGCTTCAGCATGAAAGACCATGGTACTGAGCCGCATAAGATTGTATAGGTCTGCGAAAGATGCTTCCTTCGCAACAAAATAAAAGCCGCGCGTTACACGTTCATTACATCCACGGCTAGGAGCATTGTTCGCCATCTCAGAAGGGAACACAAGGTCGTCCGGCCAGCTGGTGCACTTAAAGAGGTCATCAATGGAACTGGGGCTGCAAGACGAAATATGCTTGATATGCTGCGCGCTGATACGACAAATCCTCGAGACCAGAGTCTCCTTAGCAATCTGCACACTTTGTTTGACCCAGCGATGAATCAGCTACTACTTCTGCCCTGGCTTACTTACCATAACCTGCCATTCAACCTGGTCAATTCCGGCCGCTTCAAGCGGCTGTTACTCTACAACAACCCCTGTCTGCAAGAAGGACAGATACCAAGCGACAGGACCCTAGTAAATCTCCTTGCCAAAGAGTACAAACGAGCTCTTGGTCCTGTGAAAGTTCTCCTTCAGAAAGCGAGGAGCATGATCCAATTTACTTTTGACGTTTGGACGTCCAGACAGAACGTATCATTCCTTGGCGTCAACGCTTATTTTATATAAACATTAAAAGTATTATAATAGGTTAATATAATAGTAATATTAGTAATAATTAAAAGTAAGAAAGCTAGGTTTTAGTAGTATTAAAATAAAATTATTAGGGCTATTATTCAGGGGAAAA